TGTTTACTAAATTTTTAAGACAACTTGAGGATACAAGTTATATGCCGTAACTTGAATTAAAATTTTTCATGTTTAGTTTTACTTCCTTCTACGAAGTAAAGGAAGTACTGTAATCTAGAAAAATTAATTTGACCTCTATGGAATGAAATTTAATGATGTTTTTGCGTTACATCTGTACATAAGGACAGAATAAAGGACTCTTCCCCCCCCCAAATGAATTATAAAACTTATTTAAAATGGATTCAGAACAGATTTTTTCGTGTCTTTTATACACGTATGTATCTCCCATAACTCAAAAAAGAGCCTCAGAATGTTGAAATTTTGTATATAGAACTGCTATAACATGTCGTTATGCACCTCCTATTTTGGTTGCAATCAGCCGCACCAAAAGTATATAAATATACCCACTCTGTTAGTCGGCTCAGTTCCTTTTATTCTTATATGTTGGCAAATAGTGCATTTTTTACTTTAAAAATGAATCAATTATATTATTATTATTATTCTCTTCCAGTTAAGGTTTTTATGCTTTTGGCCAACTGCACGCAATAGTTGTGGAATTATCCACAATTTAATAGTAGTTCGAGTGCAGCCTAATTTTTCAGTTAATTAATTAATCAAGCCTAATTTTTTTTACTGTCAGCTAAATGTAGAGGGTTTGCATTTGAAACTTAGCAGAATAGAGAATTAAGTCTTTCTGAACCTCAGGGTCTTTTTGCCAAATGGGACCAAAAGGAACCTTTTAGTTTTGTGCACCAAAAAAACCTGCCTTTTTGCCTGCTGGCCGAATTGCTTGTTTTCATGCAGAAATTATTTTAATTGTAAAAATTGTTTTAACTCTATTTGGTGTTTTATGTTTTTAGTTTTAATGAAGAAATTTTGAATGTTTATGCATTTTTTTATTTTGCCTTACTGCGAAGTGAGAATTGAAGTAATTGAATGAGAAGTATATCTCTAATGAAATTCGGAAATAAGTTTAAATGAAATGCAGGAAAAATTAGTATAATTTAATATTCCATACAAGGAAGTCATGTGGTGTACACATCAGATTTTTATTACAAATACATATTATTAAAAATTTTATGGCCGTAAATGTAAATAAAAATTTTGACTTTGTTATGCAATGCTAAAAGCCAGTCACCTTGTATAAGGAACAGAGTTTTTTTTATGCACTATTGTATTTAAATACAATCACATAGGCATCAGTTATGCTGATTTGCTTCATGAGAACATGCCAATTGCAATCAAAGTTGTTTTATTATTATAGTGTATTCAGTTAGTTTTTTACACTATTAATATCTTACATTCATTTTACATTGTATTACAATAAGAAAATGTGATTTCAGTTTGTAATGAGTAAATAATTTCAATAGCATTCCATGAATATGAAAAAGAAATATGTTGGGGTTATATTGCATATAACACTCTTTATAAAAAACTTTCAAGCCAAGAACTGTAAAATTTCATTAATGATATTCAAGCAAAGATTCTCAAAAACTGTAAACTCTACTAATTATTTCCTACAAACTTTTCAAACTGGACTCTAAATTATGGCATTCAATATTTAAAAGTGTTGCATTTAAATTTTAGATTTTTCACAAAATTTTTTTTCTCCTCTTGTGCTAACTCTTTCTATTGCTAAGCCTTTTTCTTCTTGGAAGAAGGAAAATATGTAAGACAAAAAAAAAAAAAAAAAAAATTTAACTCTGAATTATACATTAGCCCTTTAATTCCTCTTTTTAATTTGGGTACTTTCCCATCTCTGTTCTAAAAATAGTGATAGCTTTTTCGAAACTGCATCATTAACCCTCTCACTGCATACTTTTTTTTTTTAAATCAAAATAGGTTAAAAAATTGCGTATTTTTTTATTACATATTTCAAATCTACATATATTTTACAGTTAAAATTACAAAAATTTTTGTAAGAGTTTTTTTTTTTTTTTTTCATATAGAATTAGATTACAGAAAAAGGTTGTCAGACTACTGAAACTGAAGAATAACTGATATAAAGTAAATTTTGAAAATCAATATGGTAAATTTGATTTATTTTATAAAATACAAGGTAACATATACTAATGAAAATATTTGCATATCAATTTTGCACCACTGTTGAACGTTTTCAACAGAAACTGAATTTTTAGATTTATCCCTATCTGCAGAGGAATCCGAGAAATTCTCATCAGTTTCGCTATAACTATCTTCAATATACTTGAAATTAGAGTCAGAACTACTATAAATGACGGAAATATCATCAGGAATATAAGTAATATCACTCACAAAACGCTTCCTGCCAGACATCTTTCAGTTCTGAAAAGCTTGCGCAAAATGCTATATTACGTATTCTCGAGACACTACAACTCGCGAAGCACTCGGCAACACACAGAGGACGGCTCCTGACTCTTCGGTTCAGTCGTTCCCGGAGCTCAACACTCTTTCGACGATGCACTAACCGCGAAGTGGGCTTATACAGTCAAAAGTCGTTAATCCGGACTCGTCGGGACTTCGGCGATTCCGGATTATAGATCATCAGTTTAAATCTGGTAAGATGACATGCAGAAATTACAAATAATATGAAAATGTAATTATGATAAAGACAATTATAATCTAAAGGGTATCAAATTTACAAAAAAAAAAAAAAAAAGCTTAATATTTGTTTACTTTATTAAACATTTCTTTCAATGTAAGTTGTTTCCTTTCATGTGATAATACTTTCTCTTTAATTCTATTAAACAGACATAATTTCTTGTTTAGTTACAAAGTTCCGCTGTTCAAGTCCTAGAACTGCTTTAAATCATATCAAAGATGTAGTACATCGACATGAAATACTACATTTAGTAAGGAATTATAAGCCAAATAAAATAAAAACATCTACCGTGAAGATAAGGATAGTGCTGACAGATCAACTTCCAATTCATTACGCGTCACGTCATTTCCCCCCCCCTCCCCAAAGCAGCGTGAAATTGATAAACAGATTTCGGATTTCGAAACATACTTTCGCTTTGTAAATCCTTTACATATTAGTAAATATATATCGGAAATTCTATTTGACATAATCAAAAGTTCAAGCTTACTTTTATAAAATTGCTCTAACAATCAGCAAAAAATAATAAGCCGGATCCAATTCGAAGATTAAGGAACAACGCAATCTGCAACATTAACTGAATTAGATAATTTTAGCTTACCTTTTACCGTCCGTTATACATTAAACGCGCATGCGCACACATATATTTGCAGCCGTAAAGGTCTTACGCGCACGCGTAAACGCCTATGCGCGTGCGTCAAAGCGACACATGCGCAGAAAGTTTGTAGCTTTGAGGTCCGGATCATAGATCATTCCGGATTACGGATGTCCGAATTAACGACTTTTGACTGTATAGCTTTCGGCTTGTGCTCGAGAACATTCTGGCCTAAACCGGTAAGAATTCGTTCCAGAAGGTTGTCCATGGTATATCGCCAAATATGGCAACCCTGCCTTCTCTTGCCGTTTTAGGACAACTCTAAAACTGCTTTGTGGGGAAGCTATCTTACTGCACCTGGACATTTCGTAACACTTGTTGCGTTTTTCTTCTCTGACACCAGTTGTTACATTATTTTCTTCCTTCATGTTCGTACAGATTTGGAGTAAATAACGACGACACTTGATGAAGTATCGAAACACACTTTACTGGCCGGTATTAATCAGGACAACTCCAAAATCTTGTTTACAGTCGTCGAACTGTTTTAAACACGCTGACACGATCAGCTACACAGCTTTCAGATTATCAAGCTATCACAGTGGAGACAGCTTCACTGCAAAGCACCATAGTACAGCTCCCGACTCTGCTTGGTTGTTTTCGGAACTCCACATACACTCTCGACTCTCCACGCTATAACTCTCAATGCACTCGACGATACACAAGAGTATAGCTGTTTACTCAGCACAGTCTAAGACAAAGCTCGATGATGCACTCGACTACCAACTCGGCGCTAGACTTCTAGATACTCGCTCAATGACTGACTATCAACTCGCTAGAAGAGGCACATACTTACTGCAGACTAGCAGGATTTATATAGCTTTCGGCTTGTGTTCGAGAATATTCTGGGCTAAACTGGTAAGAATTCGTTCCAGAAGGTTATCCATCCGTCCATGGCATATCGCCAAATGGGCGATTTCTTTCCAAATGTGGCAACCCTGCCTTATCTTGCCATTTTATGCCAACCCTATAGCTGCTTTGCGGGAAAGCTATCCCACCATGCTTGTACATTTCATAACAGTATTCTTGTATATTTGGTAGAAATGTGGACAACTAATGCCATCTGTTAGCCTACATCTAAATAAACAATTAAACATCACAGAAAAGCCGAAAGGAAACCTTGAACGCGGAAAGAACGGGTTACACAGTTAAATAGAAGGCCAAAATTCATCCCCGCGGAAATCACGGGATGCACAGCGAGAGGGTTAATTCGCATCATGCCATCTTATGTAAGCATAGCATTACAGATATTTTTTCAAAAGTCAAATAGAACTTTTTAACCATTTTTCTGAATGTGCACTTACTTTCTCCCCTTTTCTGCTTTGCATTTGCTCTTACTAAAATGTGCATCTTTTCTAAAGATGTAATAAGCTATATAAAAGTGTAGAGGGTGTGATAAGCACCCAAAATAATATGCGAACACGATTATGCTTAATTATTCATGAATAAATTAATGTGTTGTCTTTCTTCATTATATCATCTTGTGAATCTATGCATTAAAACAAGTAAAGCATCTCATCGTTAATGGCTATCTTCTTATTCCCAAATCATCCTATTATACATATATATATATATATATAAATGCAGATGTAATTATTTTTACATCTGTAACAGTTAAACTGAAAAGAAATTCATTTGGAAGAATTTTCTTAAAACAGATGTACCACAAGGATACTGAAATTAATGTGCATTTCTATCTCAAAAATTTTTCTGAAATCTGGCGTGACTCAGGCAAGATTAAAGTAATGGCAGAGAAATTACTAACTCATACTTTTTTTATATATAAAAAGTTTATTTACATAGCAAATTGTTTACAAAACTTATACTATTAATACAATTATATGAAACATTATTTACAGTAACAAAAGGGGACAGAGCTATCGTCTTCTGCTCCAATGACTAGGACCAGGTCTGTAGCGTCTAGGAGAACGTGACCGACTTCTTGACCTAAAAAATGCAAAAACAAGTACATTAAATATTTTTTTCCAGAAAATTAATTTACCATTGAATTAATTAATACAAAATAAATAAGTATGGGAGAAATGTATAAAAAGCATTCAATTAACCTCTTAAATGAAAAATTATTTTGAGAATTACAGCACCAAAAATGCTTTTCTTAATATTAGAAATGAAATTACAGAATAACAAATTACACTTTTTCCCAAACTCTGCTAAGATACATGCTTTCAACCAACATTCCTGTAATGCTAACATAAATAATATAATTCTGATACAATATAACATTACAAAATTAATATAGAGGGTGATTAAAAAGTATCTGACAAAAATGTAAGGGCAGGGCTGAAACAAGCAGATTTTGGAATGGAATGTGTGTGCAGTATTGGCCAATTGAGTTAGTACTGAACACTATGCAGTAGTAAAATTGTTCTACTGAAGTAAAACATCATACCCATGCGCTATACTTCCCTATACAAACACGGAAATAATAACATGCATTTTATAGCTGTGACTGTGAATGGAAAAGGTACAGCTGCGCTAAGGAGGCACTTGGGAACTGGTCTCTGAATCTATTTGAGAAGCTAGTCCATTTAAGCTGCAACCCCACAAATAAAATGTATACCAGTGAGTTTTACATTCATGTAGTAATTAATGCCTATCATTTGACATTTAAGCAGGGACTATAATTTATGCAACCAGAACACTTTTACTTAACAGCTAAAGAAATGCCCTATACTACCTCAACATTTCTCCAGACATTCCCCTATAAAATCTGTTTATTTCTGTCTGCCTTTACATTTTTGCCAGATATTTTGTAATTACTCTGTGTGTGTGTGCATATATCTTTAAGTCTTCTTTTTAATTTACTTATTGCTCTTTTGATACTAAAAATAGTAATATGGCTGTAATAAATTCTTCCTGAAGACATATTTTCAAAATTAATCCATCATAATCCTTATATAACACTCATGGCCTATGTGTTTATGTAAAAGTGAAAATGAAGTCATAATTATAAATTTGCAAACCAAAACTTTTTATTCAACAAAAGAAATGAAGTAAAAACCTTGTTTATGAATGCTAGATTCTATTCTAAATCTAGTATTCATATCAAAATCTACGTATGCTTCTCCTGCATCTCTCTCCTGCAAACGATAAGGCTACTGCTTCTGTGTCTTACTAACATTACATTGCTATAAATCTTGAACCAATTCAACTCAATAAGTTTTTAAGATGTGACTGCAGCTATATCTTATGCATCAGTTCCATCATCATGATCTAAGGTCACCACAAAAAATGTTCACTACACATACATACATATACAATATACATATATATAAAACCAAACTTTTTAAATTATTACGTATACAGACATATATATAATACATGTATATGCATAAATGAGGGTCAGTCAAAAAGTTGCACTGCTTAAGAAAACAAAACCAAGATAGAAATTTTACGATAACTTAATTTGCATCTTAAAATTTCATTCAAAATATACTTTTCAACATAATTACATCCATTATTTAAGCATTTATTGAGGGGTGGTACAAGTTTTTCGATGCCTTCTGCAAAGAAATCCTCTTCAATGCCCGATAACCATCCTTGGGTTGCAGCTTTCACCTTGTTATCCGAGTGATATTGTCGCTTTGAAAGTTCTGCCTTCATGGGACCAGAAACATGAAATTCACATGATGCAAAGTCTGAGCTATAAGGCGGGTGATCCCACACTTCTCACTTAAATTTTTCAAGGTTATACAAATTGTTCTGCTGCATCCGGTCTTGCAATGTCATGCAGGAACACAATATCATTCAACATTTTACCTGGCTATGGATTTTTAAGTGACTGCAGCAATTGTTTTAGTGTTTCACAATAAGAAGATGCATTAATTGTGGCACCCTTTAGCATGAACTTTTGCATGCACCAAACCTTCTCTCTCGGAAAACAGCGTCAGCATCACCTTTCCTGCAGATGGAACAGTTCGACACTTTTTTTTAATCGGAGAAGCGGAATGTTTCCACTCGAGAGAGCTGTGTTTTATTTCAAGTGAGAAGTGGTGAATCCAAGATTCATGTCTGGTCACAACTTTGTTCAAAAATTCATTTCCTTCCTTTTGGTAATGTTGCAGAAATTTCAACGCACTTTCAAAATGGTTCCCTTTATTTACCTCCGTCAATAGACAAGGCACCCATCGAACACAAATTTTATGAAATTGAAGCTGATTGGCAGTAATTTACTCCACACTTTCATGAGAAATATCCAGTTCATTAGAGATTTCGTCTATTGTTATGTGTCTGTTTGCAAGAATGCAATTTCAGAATTTCATGCAAGCAGCAATTTCAGAATTTGTGGCAGTTGATGGTCTTCTCTCGCGCTCAACGTAGCAACCACCTCCCGATAGCTTGACACGACATTGCATTTTCACCATAAACTTCATACAACTGGTCATAAAATTCACAGCAGTTACACCTTTTCACCCACAAAAAACGAAAACGAATCACTGCACGCATTTCCAATTTGGATGTCACTTGCAGATGTTGAGACATGTTTACAAATGAAAATATCAAACAAATTAAAATTGCTTTGTGAAAGCAGCTAATTTTTATGAAGGTTGCAAATACCTTTCTGACTGATCTACGTATATAGAGAGTCATTCAAAACATCATGCAGTTTTTTATAATAAATACAAATGAAGCAACAGAAAAACTTTCATTGAACCATATAAAACACCATTTTATTCTACGATTTTTGCCATTTTTCAGGCAGTTAGAAAACTCCTTTTTAAAAAAAGGCATTCGGTTTATTCGTAAAAATGTTATCAACAGGTTGTCTGACATTCTCCAAAGAAAGGAATGGCCATACAGAGAATGGACTTCGTGAAACAATAAATTTACATGCACATAAATAATTTAATAAATTTAGCGGTTAGAGACAAAACACAACGGAGATTCACAAAGACAATTTTAATTTCTTATCTTATAAAAAAGGATTTATAGGGAATGGAATATAGCTAAAAAGACAGATAACTACATTTAAATTACTGCACAAATTTATATTTAATAATAAACTAGATTTAACACATCAGCTGTAATTATAAGATAAGACATTAAACTCTAGAACAATTTATATGAATTCATATTATTCTTTTAATTCATAAATTCAAAACTAGCATTTACTATAAAATTTACCTCTATTAAACAACAAAAACAAATTTTTTAGTCCTTTCACCATATTTTATAATAATTCTGTCTTAAAATCTGAATAAAGCTTTCCATTAAAATCCCTAATATAGAATTAATTCTTATATATATGGCTTTTAAACGGACACTATATTATTTACATTTCTCTTGATATTATTAAAAGCAATATTTTAACATGCAACTTTAATCATGAATAAACAACTTAAAATTTAATTTCAGATTTTTCTAAATTTAAAAACAAAGATGGAAACAAAACCCTCAATATTAAAAATTGGTACTATTCGGTTTCGACGGCCGTAAAAAATTGCCAAACTAATGTTGATGGCAATGCTGACAAAAATAATTGCGGCAACCCCTAATAATTACGGGAAGAAAGGAAGTATAATAGTAAATAACTATCTAAGATTGATGTTTTAATTTAGATGAAAGGTTAATTTCATATAATACTTTTTTATTATTACAATTTATATGAAAAAGTCTAAACATGACTGAATGGAGCATAAGAGTAAACAACTCTTTCATATCATTATTGAAATTTATATAAAAATTGCTAAACATAACTGAATGGATGCCTGCATCGTTATTTCGCTACCGACTTATCGCTAAAGCATAAATTCATCTTGTTGGTTGGCCAAACATAATTTTCTATAATGAATGATGCCTTTTCTTTGAAAATATACTCGGTAAAGTGCAGAATCGCTCACTTATTAGTTTACCGCTTTTTACAACGGTAAAAACAATTGGATTTTTATCAATTTTCTTTTACAATACTTTTTAAGTGAAATAGGTCGATGTGTACGTTGGTAAAGTCAAAGAGTTCGCAGTGCCATTTTTGTGCAATTCTAGGATTTTTTTAAAAGTGAAAATAGGTCGATGTGCACATGGATACCGAGTATGTGCAATTCTTAAAAACGCGTCAAGCAGTGGGTGATTCTGTACTTTACCCAAAATTCTACTGCCAACTTTTCATAATGGGCAATTCCCAAATTGTTAAATCTATAGGATATCAAAAAAGGATATAAAATATAAAAGGATTTAAAAATGAAACAAGTATTTCAATGGCGTTCATCAGAAATATAGAACTATACAAACTTACGCAATCTGAAATTAACGTGTACGGTAGATTTGGCGCTTTTGTGCATACATTTTTGCTGCAATTTTTTTACAGCCCTGGAAACCGAATACAGTTAAAAGTCGTTAATCTGGACTCGTCGGGACTCCGATGATTCCAGATTATAGATTATCAGTTTAAATCTGGTAAGATGGCATGCAGAAATTATAAAATTAAAAATATGAAACCGTAATTTATGAAATAAAGAACAATTATGATCTAAAGGGTAACAAAATTTTTTTAAAAAAAAAGCTTATTATTTATTTATTTACTTTATTAAACATTTCTTTCAATGTAAGTTGTTTAAGTTGCTTCATTTTTTATGTGATAATACATTCTTTTTAATTCTATAAACAGACATAATTTATTGTTCAGTTACAAAGTTCCGCTGTTCAAGTCCTATAATTGCTGTATCGAGAATACCGACTAATTTGTCAATCGAAATTTTTTCATTTTCAATAACCTCTGTCACTTTCTTCGCTATCGGAAGCAAATTATAATGACGAGGAATTTGATTTAAATCATATCAAAGACGGAGTACATCGAGATGAAATACTACATTTAGTAAGGAATTATAAGCCAAATAAAATAAAAACATCGGCCCTGAAGATAAGGATAGTGCTGACAGATCAACTTCCAATTCATTGCACGCCACGGCGTTAAAGATTAGATAAACAAAGGATATGCCTTTATCCATTTTTTGCAGCAATTCCACTTTCTGTTTAATGGACTTCGAAACATACTTTCGCTTTGTAGATCCTTTACATATTAGTAAATATATATCAGAAATTCTATTTGACATAATCAAAAGTTCAAGCTTACTTTTATAAAATTGCTCTAACAGTCTGCAAAAAATAATAAGCCGGATCCAATTCGAAGATTAAGGAACAACGCAATCTGCAACATTAACTGAATTAGATAATTTTAGCTTAGCTTATACCGTCCGTTATACATTAAACGTGCATTCGTAAACGTATTACGTGTGTGCACGCACACACACGTATTCGAAGCAGTAAAGGTGAATGCGACGCATGCGCAGAAAGTTTGTATAGCTTTGAGGTCCGGATTATAGATCATTCCGGATTATGGGTGTCCGAATTAACGACTTTTGACTGTAGTACCTAAAAATTTATAGGGAAAAATATATTTAAAATTATGATTACTAAAATTATGAAAAGTTATAAAAAATTACACACCGTTTATAAGAATAAGCAGCAGGAAGCTCTTTATCCTTCTTTGATTTTTCCTTGTGATTTTTTATTGGTGACCGTGACCTGTGTCGCTCTCTAGAACGTCGAGATGATTTCGACCGGTCTGAACGTGAACGTTCTCTACTCTTAGAATGCGAACGCTTTTTCTTTTTCTTCTTTTGTTTTTCAGGTTTAGCAACCTCTTCTACTTTTGCTGGGATGGGTTCTGAATCACTGCTGTGTTTTTCTCCATATTCTGTAATTGGTTCTTCTTCCCCTGATTCTCCTGAAAATGAATTTGTCGCCCAAGCATGTTTAAGGCCTTGTACTGTCAAAGGAAAATTCTGGCCAGAAGGAATGTACCTAGGAAACAAAAATAAAACATTACTCTCCCAAGTTTTGAAATAATGCAGAAAAATTCTAATATGCAGATTACAACATTCCTAAAACATTACATTTATCAAAGTGAACTGAGAGATAGTATTATTTATGATTTCACAATGAAAACTAAGTAGTGGTATAATTTTATTAATTTTCAATTAATCAAATCAATAACATTTTTAGAATAAAAAATACATGATACTTAATATATTAGCACAACTACACTGGTTATCATAAATTAAGGAAAAATCACAAAAATAGCGATAACTCCCTCAAAAATACGCTAAACCATTGTAAAATTTGAATATGTTGCCAAGTAAGAGTAGCTGAGTAAAACTCCAATATGCAAATTAGTGGCGCTGCACTCGTAATACGTCATCTGCGAGGAGCATAAAAGTACATATTTGAGAGCAAGCCCACATATTTCACTGTGATAGTGACATCAGAAATCCGAGATAGCCAATCGTAACAATGACTTCCAGGCATCTACGATAGAAAGCCATTGGGAGACTAGAGGCAGGACAAAGTCAAACAGAAGTGGCCAGATAGCTAAATGTGAGTCCTTCTGTAGTTCAGAGACTTTGGAGGCAATTTCAAATCACAGATGTGGCACTTAGGAGATTCAGCCAAGGACGGCCAACTGCTGACATTATGTGCACTCAGGAATAGAACCGCTACTCCGACTCTTAGATCCTCCCTTGCTGCAGCCACCGGAAAGTTGATGTCAACGTCAACATTGTGTAGAAGGCTTCACGAAGGTGGTCTGTATGCGACGCGAACAACCATTTGCGTGCCGCTCAAGTCACGCCATAGGAGGGACCGTTTGCAGTGGGCACGAGAAAATGTCCATTAGACGCCTGAGCAATGGAGGGCTATTCTCTTTACGGATGAGTCCAGGTTTAGTCTAGAACGCGATAGTAGACGTTATTTGATATGGAGAGAACCTGGAACCCGTTATCATTCGTGAAAGATATGCATATGGAAGAGGCAGTGTCTGTGTTTGGGATGGCATCTCTTTGGGTGGACGCACAAACCTCCGTATTTTTTCAAGGGAAACCGTGAATGCTCATGTTTACAGAGATAACATACTTGATACTTATGTGCGCTCATATGCTGGGGCAATAGGTGATGCTTTCCTGTTACAGGACGACGATGCAAGACCACACAGGGCTCGCATCGTATATGATTATCTTCAACAGGAAACAATTATGCGCATTTAGTGGCCAGCTCGATCCCCAGACTTGAATCCTGTCGAGCATGTTTGGGATGCTTTAGGGAGACGTCTAGCTGCTCTCAATCCGCCCCTTAGACCTTTGCCGAGCTTGCAACTGACTTTGCAAGAGCAATGGCTCTTGCTTCCTATGGAACTGATAGACTGCATAATTGAAAGCATCACACATCGCTGAATATGCTGTATTGCTTTTAGAGGCGATTGTATTCCATATTGAAGATACTTTTACTATAGCAAACTGACATCTTCAATTTGTTCATTTAATACATGTGCTAATTTCTATATTACCATAATTGTCTGGTAATTATTTTTATGTTATTTGATACCTTACTATGTGTTGTATATTGTGGGTAAGTTATAAAATTCTAAATGTAACTTTTTTCAGTAATCGTGATTTTTGTGATTTTTCCTTAATTTATGATAACCAGTGTACTTTAGTAAGAAGTTGCCAACTTTACAGAACATACCAAACTCTGATAACTCTGCGTACTACAAATTCTTCCATTTTAGCAAATAATGCCACTATTTTCACACACACACACACATATATATATTTGGTTCTATTCTTTCAAACCGTTCAAACAGCTTTAAAAATAAATTGTGATTTTTTTTTTTTTTTTATTAAAACTCAATCTTAAATTATGCACTACAGGGACTGATATGCAGTGGAAGAAATTATGGTACAATTTAAAACAATACATCACATGCTGCATTAAGTAAGCAATGTGAAATATATCATGCATTAGAATGCACACACACTCTCTCTTTTATACCTATAAAAGTAAGAAGGAAAGTCATTTAATAAGAATTTTAAAGCATGTGAGCTGCAATGAGAGAAGTATGGTTATGGAAATAATGATAAGTAAAAGATTCTTTGACCATCTGATAGTCGAGGTTCCAATATCAGCCATTTACTACTTCAGAATAATCAGGTTTAGATATGAGCTCAAAGTTTGAGGAATTTTCTACAAACTGAGAATGATCATAAGATTCCACTGTAACCTTTTCCACTCTCTTTATTTAATCATATTGTTTCAAGCATACAGAGTGTGGGAGAATAGTATTTCAGCTATATTATTGTATAGTGTCGCTTCATTCGTATTTCAAAACTGATAGCAATTTTTTCCCTCCCCATCTCTGAATTATAAATAAGTATACAGCTGCATCAACAAATACACGAGCATGACTGTACTTAGAATCGTCCATTATAATGAAAGTTAGGGTATTTATGAATCACAATGTATTTTCTTTTGGAATCACTGAATATTAATAATCTTACACAGTTATTCAAGATGCTGCTTAAATTCAATAAATGAAACATCATGATCCTAATTTCATATCTGTACATTCATTACCTAAACTAAGTTAAAGGCTATACAGTCAAAAGTCGTTAATTCCGACACCCATAATCCGGAATGATCTATAATCCGTACCTCAAAGTTACAAACTTTCTGCGCATGCGTCCTAATTCAGTTAATGTTGCAGACTGCGCTGTTCCTTCATCTTCGAATTGGATTCGGCTTATTATTTTTTGCAGACTGTTAGAGCAATTTTATAAAAGTAAGCTTGAACTTTTGATTATGTCAAATAGAATTTCTGATATATATTTACTAATATGTAAAGGATCTAAAAAGCGAAAGTGTCTTTCGAAGTCCATTAAACAAAAAGTGGAATTGATACAAAAAATGGATAAAGGCATATCCTTTGTTTATCTAAACTTTAACGTTTATTTATCTAAAATTTGTTTATCTTTAACGCTGTGGGGCACAATGAATTGGAAGTTGATCTGTCAGCACTATCCTTATCTTCAGGGCAGATGTTTTTATTTTATTTGGCTTATAATTCCTTACTAAATGTAGTATTTCATCTCAATATACTCCATCTTTGATATGATTTAAATCAAATTCCTCGTCATTATAATTCGCATCCGATAGTGAAGAAAGTGACAGAGGTTATTGAAAACGAAAAAATTTCGATTGACAAATTAGTCGGTATTCTCGACACGGCAATTATAGGACTTGAACAGCGGAACTTTGTAACTGAACAAGAAATTATGTCTGTTTATAGAATTAAAGAAAATGTATTATCACATAAAAAACGAAACAACTTACATTGAAAGAAATGTTTAATAAAGTAACAAAATAAATATTAAGCTTTTTTTTTTTTTTTTTTTTTTTTTTTTTTTTTAATTTTGATACCCTTTAGATCATAACTGTTCTTTATATCATAAATTACGGTTTCATATTTTTAATTTTATAATTTCTGCATGCCATCTTACCAGATTTAAACTGATGATCTATAATCCGGAATCGCCAAAGTCCCGATGAGTACAGATTTTGACTGTACTTACTTTTTAACCCTCTTGACAGCTTATCCTGCAATTTCCATGATCAACATATAAAAGTGGCAAAATTTGTTCATCTTGCAATATCAAGAGATATGGAATTGCTGTTTCTATTTAAAAGCGTATCTCTTCTGTTTCAAAGTTTAATTGTCACTAATGCATTTTGTACAGTATTTTGACTTTAAATCAGATTTTGGTCAATAGATTGGGTTGGTTTTTGACTAAATTTTGTGTATTTGTGTAAAGTTTGTGAACCAGTTTTCCAGTTCTTATTATTTGTGCAGAAAAAATAAGGAACTCTGTTAAAAACTTAGCAGTCAGAGGGTTAAGTACAATTAATAGTAAAGTAAAATATTTTTATATAGAAGAAAAGATACTTTTTTAAATAATAAATTTTCAATCTATAAAAAAAGTTTCCATGCTCTCTCAGATATTATTCTCATGAATTATCTGAAATTTACTGATAATCACCAATTTTTTAATGTCTATTAAAAAATAACTGGAGCTCTCTTTGCTACTTTTATCAGTTACCATCAAGTTTAATGGCAAAATTATGGAGTCACTCAGCATGTGAAGTAAATTTCACACATGCCAAGACTGTTGCAAGGAATGTTCTGGAATAATAAAATTAACTCAATGAATTCAGCTTCATTACATTACCATCAATTCAGCAACTGATAAAATGCAACTCAGCAGAATATTTTTACATTTGTTTATTAACACTTCCTCCATAAATGCATTATGCAAATCAACCATTCAGTTTTACTGAAGATATTGGACACAATATATGCCCAATATATATTTTACAGAAATAAACTATTATTTTGCAACAGCTCATAATGAACAGGTTTTAGAAATATACAGAATTTAAGGCTAAAATTTATTAAAATTTCAATTTTAATTATTTATATCATTAAGAAAAGATTTCTTCTAATGGTTATCAATATGTTATGCATTCAATACAAGGCTATAACAAAATTTTAATTTTATCACATTTGTACTGGAATACATACATTTACATTTCACAAAGCTGCTATAAATATATTAAAAAGTTTTAGTAAATCCCCCTCCCCAAAAAAGAGAGAGAAGTTGGAGGAAAGAAAAGAAAAATAGTTCCAGTTTTGTAAATAACACTAGATTAGTATTATTTTAAATTAACTCCTAATTAAAACATTCATGGCTAATAATATATTATTAAGAAACAATACTATTTCACAAAGCTGCCATAGATATATTAAAAAGTTTTAGTTAATCCTTCCCCCCCCAAAAAAAAAAGATAATTTTTTAAAGTTAATATTTTAAAACTTTTAAATCCATAATGCTCATAATGCTATTTTGTAATAAATACTACTATCACGACATATTATGATATTAAAAGAAATAAATAAAACTTACATTTTATCAGAGGGAAACACAATTCCATTATCTGAAGCCCCAGCTGCATCAGGAAGGATCCAGAAATCTGAATCTAATTCATCAGGATCAGGTTTTTTAAGATTTTGTTGACTAATTTCCTTTTTTTCACCTAATTTCTGTGAAGCAGTTATATTTGAATCTGGATTTTTCTTCTCTAACATCTTAAGAAATAAAGCAGCTTTACGCTTCCTCTCTAACTGCAGTTGTTTCTCTTTCCTCTGTTGCTCTAATTGTGCTTGCCTTTCTTTTTTTAACAGCTCTTCCCGCTTTTGTTGCTCTAATTGCATCTGTTTTTCTTTCTTCTGTTGTGCAATGCGTTCTCTTGCAGCAGCTACTAATTTATCTTTGATACGTTCTTCAGCTTTAAAAAAAAATAAAAAAAATAAAAATAAAAAAAAGAGAAAGAAAAAAGAAAAAGAGGGAGGATTATACATGAGTAAGTCATGGCAAATGGAATCAGTATAACTTATTAAATATATCAGCTCAAATGCAATTCAATTAATTTTTAATTCATGTATATCTAGAGGTAATTTTCAGATAATTCAACAAGTATATTTTAAATGTTGTACGCATTTATTAACTCGCAGTTAATAAATGCGTACAACAATTTGCTTCAAGTAGTATTTCAAGCCATGATGCTCAAACAGTTGCCTTATGGGAATTATTACTTGTACAATGAAGTTTAATGTTCAACATTGTACGCATTGTGTATTGTGTACAGAACATTAAACATTTGCTTTAAGAACTTTTTTTTATACTTTGGTTCAAAAAGCAGTAACGGAGACTTATTATTTTACACAACTGCAAGATGATAACGTTGTCTTAATCATGATTAATATGTGATATAATGTGAAATTTCAAGCCATGATGCTCAAACAGTTACCTTATGGGAGTTATTACTTGTACAATGAAGTTTAATGTTCAACGTTTTCACTTTAATTTCAAAACAAAAAGACAGCACATTGGGATGACTTTTTAGGTAAACATAAATTATACACTAACTGTATGGAAATGGATCAAGAAAATGTTCTGCATTTTAAATAAAAAGGTCAGGAGGTCGATGTCAAGAGGTAAAAAGGTCGATGTCAGGAGGAAAGAGGTTAAAAACAAGTTTTCAGAACTTAAAAAAAAAAAAAAGAGTGTTGGCTTAAGTACACTGTAGTCAAAGGGACTACACTGATAGGAATATAATAAATATCAATAAATTGAAACCTTGAGTTCATGAAATCATTTCCAATATGTTTTGATCAGAGCAACATAAAGCAAAATTAGGTAAAATTTCTATGGGGTTATATTTATTTCACATATTTTGATGGAGTAAATATCCAAACAGATATAAAACTAATAACTTTATTTGATGTACCTGATTATTATGTCACCATCTATTTTAAATTCAAGATATACAATTTGAATTTCTGCTAGATAAACAAAGAAAACTAATGAAAATTCAGAAGCAAAATCTGCACTTTTTTCCATTCTGGAAAACAATTCTTTTCCTCAAAAGTAAAAATTTTTTCTTTCCTTAAAATGCATTACAATACTACTTCTAAAAATAATGTCAATCTAATGTTTCCTCAAAAGTAAAAAAATTTTCTTACCTTAAAATGCATTACAACTTCTAAAAACAATGTCAGCCTAATGTTTTGTTCAAAGATGCCTTACATCCAACAAACTTGTTAAAAATAAACCGGGAGGGGGGGGGACTCTGGCAATATCTTAACCTTCTAGGCAGCTACGGAAGCCACTAAATCCTAAGCTTGACACACACACACACAAAAAAAGTCTTGAGTAATGGTACTTTCTTAATTATTATTTCAAAAAGACCCTTCTGTTTTGCACCTTGATTGTTTTTCTTATAAATATATATATATCTTAGCTTAACTGTTTGGACAAACTTCAAGATGGGTGGCTGGGTACTTGAAAATATCATGACAAAAATTATAATACAGCTTGGCCAAATGGTTAATTTAATGCTTGAACGTACTATGAAACATACCAGACAGTTCAGCACAGATGATGATTTCAAACTAGACTCGTTCTAGGAATTCTAACATACTGAAAAACTAGCCCAGAAAATTTCATACTGTAGTCAGTTTATGAACATTATTGTTTTACATACCTATAACAGATGAAAACTCCAAGAGGCTGTTTCCACATTTTTTAGACAATTTTCCTTGTATTTACAGAAATAGTTTAGCTAACATTTTTGTGTTTTAAATGTCTGCTAGATAAACCTTATTCTTCCCTATCTTTCTACATCATAATTTCAAAAACAATAGAGCTATTTGTAGTGTAGAGGTATTTTATCCCATTCCTCTCGATAGCTTTCCGAAGTCCAAGGAGAGTTGTAGGTAAATGTTTGGACAATTCGCTTTTTAGTGAAAAAATCCATCAGAATATTTAGTTGGGATATGAGTTAAGGCTAGAAATACTTGCTTTTTATTCTGTTTTTTTTTTTTTTTTTTTCCCCAGAAAATTAACAGTGGATTTTTACGTGTGGCTGCTTACCTCGATGCAGTTCTTCTGATTGATGGCACTGTGGCTAAAGAGAACATATATCATATTTGAAAACTGGATATCAGATATGTTCCCGATAATGTGTGAAATTGATATTAGCATTTTTCTTCACTCTCTTTATATTTAATTTATGGTTATATGAAAAACCAGCAATAATCATAAATCCCTTTAAAGAACTTTATTTAGATTCCTTGAACCAACCATGTTTTGAGATTTTTTTCCCCTCCTCTTAGATGATAGTAATGGATCTCTTTTTGTTAAAGTCATTTAAATACACCCAAGATTCATCTATTACAACATTTTCCCATTTTTTTCCGGATAAATGTTTCTCATAAAAAAATTCTGAAGCGAGTTCTGCATTCAGCAATATGTCTTAGGTAAAAATGATGCACATTTTGTTTTTAGTTAATAGTGAGTATTTTAATGATTTTGCTACTATCCTTTGACTTAGTGGAGTTTTGTTTAGAAATTAAAAATCTTACCTTTGCAAAATTCGAAACATTCTGTTTTTTCCTCGGATATAAATTTGGAACAATTTCTCTACTTGAAGCAAAATTGTGACATTTTTTTCCCTTTCTTGTTGAGAATATTACCTACCATAGCTTTGGCTTTCATGATTTTTTATAATAATTAGATAGGAATAACTTTCTACATAAAGAGCACAGACATAGCTTTCCATCCATTGCTTCTTTAAAACCGCCATTTTGCATGAAAACAAAACTGTCAATTAGCAAATGATAATTCTTTCAAAAATACAGCTGCAGTTGAAAAACAAATTTCCAAGCAAACTAATTTTTTTCAAAGCAAAATCATCCAAAAAATGCGCGAATAGCCTTCACAAATGATTATACTGAAAATGCTGGTAACCTACCAAACAAAAGGCATTACAATTAGTATAAAAAGCAACATACGCTAAAAAGTATATAACTTACCCAACTTAGCTTCTAAAGACTCATTATTTTGTTTGGTGGTTTTCTCCTCTCTTTCAACAGATTCCTGCCTAGAATTAGGAGCTGACCGTGAGTCTTCAGTGGATTTTCTTCTTTTATCTGACTCCACTTTATCTGTTTTGTTTTCATCTGAATCATCTTCCGAATCATCCAACAGCAAAGTAGTCATTTTTGATTTATCAGAAGTAGGAGTTTCAGATTCCTTTACCTTCAGTGAAAAACTAATAGGAGCTGCAAACAGAATTTATATAAATATTAGGTGTATAATCCAAAATGTGAAAAGGTATCTAAAATTCTAAATATTAAAAATATTTATAGAAAATATATCTAATGAAGAATTTAAATATTCTGACTATCAAATTAGTGCATACCTATTAAAAAGTCTTAATTGTACTTCATGAATATTTCAGTGTTTTTCAAACTGCCTTATATTGATGATGACCATTGAAACACCTAATTGTAATGAAACTTTTCCGGCAAAAAACATTCTTAATAAGGTTAGAGGGGGGGAAAAACAAACAAACATGAAAGCAGTATCTTTAGCACGGGTAGTAAACACCACCCAAATCAATGATTTTCTGCCAAATTTTTGGTAGTTTTCCAAAGCCTTCCGCCCAGAAACTTAAGTGTCTTTGAGTCCACAGTCAAATTGCACTTTGTGACGCTGCTGGCAGGCTCACCAAGATCAGACCAACCCTCTTTTCAGCTTGCGTTGTTGAAGTAAATCCACTTTTCATCCCGAGTGCCGATACAGTCCAGAATTTTGTCCTTGCATTGATATTCAAGCAAATTAGAGCAAGAACACGTCTGTCCTTATCTGCTTGAGCCAGCTCATGTGGCACCCAGCAATTGAACTTGTATGTCAAGTTTATGCGATGCATAGTGCGACTAATGGACATGGCACTAACATTTAACTCCTTAGCAAGCTCTCGAGTGGTTGCATACTGATCTTCTTCCACAAATTTTCGAAGCAGGCCTCTGAATGTCAGAGTCCTTGTTTTTTGAACTCTTGGTACCAAACCCTCACAGTGTCACGTGATACAACATTAGAACCTAAAGCTGCACACATGATTTGGTGACAATTTTAGTTGACTTGCAACAGAACTTGAAGTACATGATGGTTTTAATCTGGAAGTGTGATAGTTCCATTTCAAACACCTTATACTTAATGATAACAATATTAAAAAAAAAAAAAAAAAAATCACAACACACTGTTCTAAAGCAAGCCTGTTTTGTTCAAATACCAAAAATTGTTTGACAAAATATGCTAGCACAAACTGTTTGCACAGACGATATTTGTGGTGGCGGGAAGTTTCATTAAAACCCCCACATTATCGCTTTTTAAAAATATAACATGGAAATACTTTTAAATGTTGTGGTTAAGAACATTAAAAATTTAGTCATTACCCACATAACAACATAAAATACAAGTCAGCAACTTTAATTTAAACATTGATTTATTTTTTTAAGTTTTAAAAAATTAGATAAAATCATACACAACATATTTTCTGGCAGAAATGCAAACATTTCTGGCACAATACAAATCAACAAGTTTGTTTGAATATGACCACTGCAGTAACTAGCAAAAATCATTTGGCACAATATGGCTATGACCCCTCCTCAAGTAAAATTGGAATTCAGTGCAAAGCCTGAACAAAGATCACATGAGGGTTGTAGAATGTGCCTTTCATTGCATGAGCGTTAGAAGCTAACATCCAATGACAACACATCTAGGACAGCTACACAGCTCACCTGGGCTCAGCAATTTGCATATTAGATATTTGATCACTGGAAATTAATGCCCTGGTCTGATCAAAGATAGTTCAAATTATTTTGAGATGATGGAGATATTTATGTATAACAAAGATTTCACGATTCCATGGATCCTATATGCCAAAAAGAGACTATACATGCTAAGATGCCTCCATAATCATATTACATTTATCTAACTGGTATACAATAAGACAATAACAATTACAAATGGCCCTGACAGACGAACTCTACTGCACATCTACTTATCATTCATCATCACTTTATCAGCGCATACTATACTAAAACCAGACTGGTTGGACATGCTATACCAACAGTAAAAATGCATAAAAAGTTATGTATCATAGTAGATATTTATTAAAATGGCATAACTCCATCAATTTATATAAAATTTAACTATTTAAAAAAATTCCTTAAAATATTATTATTATTACTGGCATAATGTATATGTATTCTTTTTTCAGAATAATTTATTATTTATTAAATTTGAACAAACTTTTAGAACTTAAATAGTTAATGGTCATGGAAAGATAATTTGAGAACAAATTTATCTTAATAAAAATAAAATTACAATCTTAAATAGAAATATGGTTTTCAAGGTCTTGAACAAGATGGCTAATGTGACTAAATATGTACACTCAACTGAAAAAAAACTGAATACATAATAGATAAATACAGAAACAATTTGTTTATGACCACAAACAATGGTTTTCACAGATTCGATCAATGAAATTAAAATTTTTAATTTTCAAACAATCCCAAAATGAAATAAATTTACCTTTTATGGATTTGGACTTTGCTTTCACACCCTCTTCAGCACTCTGAATTGAGCTTTGAGAATCAAGAGATTCCATAGAATCTGTCTGATCTTCTTTGGGTACTTCTTGTGATGGTTGAGGATTTGGACCAAAAATAGATCCTTGTGAATCTTGTGATTCCATAGTTTCATTTTCACAGTTAGCTGTAATCTGGTTTTCTTCTTTGTTGTCTCCTGGTGAAACAGCACCAGTTCCTGAATCCTGTATAGGATCATTTAATACAGTTTTTGAACTGTCTGATACATTAGCTTGAACTGAAGGTTGTTCACTCTGTTTCACAATTTCAGTTATTTTTCCTTTTGCTTCATCTCTTTTCAGTATATAATATTGATAATACTCATTCCATGGATGCAAAAATGCAAATCTATTGTCATCTGTATAAAAAATATACATATAAGATACTATTACAAAATTAGATAATACAAGATTTCATTCATTTACTACATTACTAAGCAAAATGACATTTTCAGACTTCATTTATCTCTCCTAAAAACAATGCAATTTTTAGCAGCTAAAATTTAAAATAATTAAAAATTATAAAAAGCTCTCAAAATAAAAGGTTATTGAAAGCTTTTTAAATTAATAATAAGCTTTCAATTAACTCTATATTAAATTTACCAAATAAATAAATAAACTTACTTTTGCTTTTTACAATGGTTTCAAAATCTTCTCCATTCTTTGCAACATATTCTGCCATTTTATGAATAATTGGCTGAAGGTCAGGTGGAGGAGGAATAAGCTCAACGGTTTGCACATAAGAATTCTGATATTCATCACAACTGCTCTCATCACTGCAGATGCTTATTAAATGATTTTTGGTATGAACTAAAAAAATAATTATCCAAATGTTTTTTTCAATTATACAAAATGGCACATACATCAATTTAGTATCTAAATCTCTTGACCTGCAAACAGGTCTTAAAGTTTTAGAAAAATTGAATACATTCAAAATAAATAAATAAATACTAATTATTTTAGACCACTGTAAGCATGATTAATTTTAACTCTTCCCCTTCTTCTTCTAACTTCTTATTGAATAAGACAGAAGTCTCAATTTCCCTAATAAATATAAATCTAATACAGAGATTTTAAATTTCCATCTGCAATTTCCAAGTTATTATTTTGAAGAATCTAATGAGCTTACCAAAATTATATTTTAGTGAAATACTATAATGTAACGTCACATTATTATTGAAAGAGGTTACTAATAAGGATGTCACTGAAAGAATGAAAGTTTTGGTTTCTTCTCAAAATAAACCATAGTTGCCAAGCTTAGAATACGAAAAACACGGAGTTCACACGATGTTTCTGCATTCTGTGATGACATCATTTCAAAATTATTATAAACTGGCTTAAATTTACTTTATAATGCATTATTCAGGTTATTGAACTATTTATGATAAGACTCTCTGTCTAAAATACACTGCTGGCCACCCAAATTGCAACACCAAGAAAGACTAGAGATACAACAAAACTTTTTAGTAGATAACATGTTAACCAAGTATCAAATGATTAAATTAAATTTATAGACTTCTGTGAAGTGTGGTTCCTTTCAGAATCAGCCAGAGTAGCCACCATTGTTGGAGATCACCGCTGCCACTCGTCTCGACATTGATTCAAAGAGACTTTGGATGAGTTCTTGGGGTACAGCAGACCAAGCAGCTTCTACACGTTGCCAAAGTTGATCTGGTGTGGCAGCTGGGGATGTAACCTGGGTCAATCGTTCCGCAACCATGGAATACGTGTTTTCTATCGGTGAAAGATCCGTAGAGTGAGTCGGCCAGGGAAGCAATTCAATCTGGCAATTGACGAAGAACCTTGGACGATGCGTTCCACGTGTGGTAGAGCATTATCCTGTTGAAATATGGCTGTGGGCAAGCCCTGAGGGTAAGGAAGGACAACTGGCTCCAACACCTCGGAGATGTAGCCCTGGCTATTGAAAGTACCGGCAATGTGTATTAGAGGAGTGGGAGAGTCATATCCAATACCGCCCCATACCATAATACCTGGTGAATGACCAGTGTTGCGGTGCATAATGCAGCTGTTTAGCATCCTTTCTTCACAGTGTCTCCAGACTTGAATCCGACCATCTGGTGTTGCAGACAGAAGCATGACTTGTTAGTAAACACAATTTCATTCCATTCCGCCGTCCACATCCTTCTTTCAGCAGAAGAGGATGGCTGTAGTTCTGCATCGAGGATAGACGAAGCAATGGAAGTTTTGCGGACAGACCACTCTGCTGTAAACGGCAACAAATGGTGCGCGCAGACACTCGATGATGCCTTAATGTGCTGTGCTATGGTTCGTGATGTGACTGAGCGATCTGTCACTGCCATGCGCACAATGTTCCTGCCATCACGTGAAGTGGTGCACAGAGGTGGATGCGATCGAACACGTCAGTCTGTCGTACCCTCCTGCATCCAACGGTCACATATGCGCATTACAGTTTTTTGGTTTCGTCCAACACGACTACCGATTTCCCTGAAAGATAAATCCACACTATCCTTCCTCTGTCGAACTCGGATACTTGATCAAACGATGATCGCTGTTTACTATGAGGCATAATTGATCGTTTCTTTGAAAAAACCACAAGAAAAATACAATTGCCGAACTTGAAATTGTCAAAAACTCCAAGCCTTAAATAGCGCATTGAAGTGGCATCACGGGCGCGTGTGATGTGATTCTGCGCTGAAATTCCAATCATTTGCATATCTCACCTCGGCTAATGCATGTCGTAAATTTCATGTTATTTCCATGCTTCCTTCAGGGTGTTGCATTTACAGTGGCCATCAGTGTATATTAATATTTAATTAGATATTATAAAGTCTATGTTGCTCGGCTAATTTAACTTTGTTACGGAATTTCCTCATTCCTTAATTCCCTACTATTCTTTCCTTACTTTGCGGTGTGACTGATAGCATTTCTGACTAGCAATTAGGAAGCTTGGAGTTTAAATCTCAGTTAATGCATTGCTAAATTATCAATTTCTTGTCTTATAATAAACCTACCAACATTTCCTTACATTTTTATACAGTGATCATGAGCAGGGGAAAAAAAAAACTTTTATTTATCAAAGTGCTTTCAAATATGATGAAAATAAAATTAATAATTAATGCACATATGATTGTGGGGGTTAACTAAGTATTGTACCATATATTCATGCAAGACAAAATTAAACACAAATATTAACTGATTAAACATTGGTGATTCTTCAAGAAAAGGATAAAAAAAAAGCTTTGCAAGCATGTCTACAGTAGATTAAGACAATTCACATAAAAATTATTAAACAAACAAACAAAAAAAAAAAAAAAAAAAAAAAAAAAATTTGAAAACCACTACGGCTAGAGGAATGGAATTGCACAATTTAAGTTTTAATAATTAAATAAACTTCATTTAATGCTTGGAAACATTTTCCTAGAAAAAGGTTAAAGATTAAAAACTGGGAGACCGTGTGATCGACTGGGAGACTAAGAAATATGACAAAAAAGCTGGATCCTGAGAGTTGGTGGTTATGAAATGTATATTATTACAATTTAATCAAACAAGTGTGACCTAGAGCACAGACACAGAGATTAATTATTTGGACTAATTTGCTTATATATATATATATATAAAGCCATGCATAGAAGTACATTGAAGACATTTGATAGACAGTCCCGGGTAACATATAATTTAAAAAAACAAAGATTGTTTTAACAATATGCATACTCCCAGGTTATCCTTTAGAACTATACTCTTCTAGTTGATAATTATGCTGTACAGATCCAAACATACCCATAAGCATGCAACCAGTTTATAGCTATCCACAACCATAAATTATGATTATCATATCCTGAATCAATAATTAATAGTGTACAGGACTTCTTAATTAGATAAAAAGGTCACTTAGCAGCAGACTGTAACCAGTCATTGTCAACAGAAAACTGTTATTTGGACTCAAAAAGAATTATTCTGTTACTTAATTATCAATCCACAGAGATTATTAATATCATTAGCAAAAGATGTTTACATTCATCAATTAGACTGCATATTTCTACATTTAAGAACAGCAAAAAACTTAAAATTCTGCAAAAATATTACGAAGTTAAGGAAAAAGGGGGATATATCCAAAATTCAATTCCAGATTAAATTAAGCAGAAGGCAAATGAAATTCATACATATAATCTAACCACTTGGGAAAGCTAGAATGAAATATTATCCTCCGTTACCTCCAATAAAAAGTTTCAAATTGGAAGAGATGTAACTGAAAGGGTTCCCCTACCCAAATTTTCAGAGTAATCTTACATTGATTTACAACCTAAGTAATGATTTTACGTAAATATAAAACACACTTTTTGATGTTAAAATATAAAAGATACAAAAACTTAATAGAAATTAAATACATGCATATGTTAAAACAAAATTTTCAACATGCTGTTATAATAATTGTCATTACAGTAAAAACATCAATTAAGAATTGTGCAGGGGAAAAAATACAAGCTAAAAAAAGTCTAGAAAACTATATTTTCCACAGATAAAAATTCTGATTAAAAAAAAAAAAAAAAAGACAGAGAGAGGAAAATAAAAACCTTCTTGTGAAGCCTCTACACTTGATGACTGAGTTTCAGCAGGTGTCTCTTCAACAAGATGCTGCCGTAAATTTCTCACCAATACAGAATAACTATCATCGTGGTTGCGACGGAAATTTATGGAAGGCACAGTAAACTAAAGAAAAAAGGAAGGTATATTATTTTTTTTCATGCAAATATGAGGTTAGAAACATTTTGTCCATAATTATGTCCAGTTCTTATGTACCCCTTGTTTTTTCAAACACAAAGTCAAAGAACCACAGTCAATTAGAAAAGACCAATATTGTAAAAGTTAAGAAATTTAACATTCTGCATAGTTCCCATCTTTATATTTAATAAAATTGCAAAATCATTATTTAAAAAAAATCCCCCCCCTTGATTCCTGTGATAAAAATGGATCAAGAGACATAATTCTGAAATTTATTATACTTTCAAGTTGATTTTTTTTTTTTTTTTTTTTTTTTCTTTTTTTTAATGTCATTTAGTGATATTTAAGATATTTCTTTTTAATGTCATTTAGTGACATTTAAAATATTTCTTTTCAATGTCGTTTAGTAATATTAAATAAAATTCTTTAATTTATAATTTTGTTTACATTGTAGAGACATTAGTTAATTTTTTGGAAGCATAAAGATGAAAAATTAGCAACACCTTCGACGGGAATCGAACCCCGGACCTCTGGAATGCGCATCCAGAGTGCAGATCATCACACCACGAAGGCATGCCAAGAAAGCGGGAGAAATACCTTATAACACAGTATGCTGAAAGAATTTTCACATATGTAATTTTATGTTTTCAAACACTAATAATATGCTATTAATATTCTTATGAAGTTTTATTACTTTAGAATCTAATAATCACACCAAAAAAAGTATTAAACAAGAAACACTTTTCTTTTTAGGTTTTGGTTTATTTAAATACGGCAAAACACACTAGAGCTATCTGCCTAAGGGAAGGGATGCCTTCGTGGAGGACTTTCTATGGGAAACTGACTTGTATACACGTTACACATGGGGAAAACAATGAAAACGCCCATGCAGCCAGCCCGTTCGCGGGATTTGAACCTCGAACGAACTAACAGTATTCAGCGACTTTACCGCAGCTGAGCTGAACACTGGTGGTGGGCCCTTTTCTTTTTAATCCATGCGAATAATATTACAAATTAGCTATGTGTCAATAATAGAGCCTGAAAGTGTTTTCTAGAACATGGATTCTATAAAAGTCTGTGAATGAGATCTCCTTTTTGAAAATATAAACAGTACAAAGTCTTTAATCCGGACTCGTCGGGACTTCGGCGATTCCGGATTAGGGTTTTTTCCGGATTATAGATCATCAATTTAAATCTGGTAAGTTGGCATGCAGAAATTATAAAATTAAAAATATGAAACCGTAATTTATGAAATAAAGAGCAATTATGATCTAAAAGGTATCAAAATTTACCCCCCCCAAAAAAAAATAAATAAAAAGCTTAATATTTATTTGTTTAGTTTATTAAACATTTCTTTCAATGTAAGTTGTTTAGGTTGCTTCATTTTTGTGCTAATACTTTCTCTTTAATTCTATAAACAGACATAATTTCTTGTTCAGTTTCGGGGCCCACCAGCAGCCGAGCGGTAAAGTCGCTAAACACTAGTAGTTAAGTCCGAGGTTCAAATCCCGCGAACGGGCTGGCTGCATGGGCGTTTTCGTGGTTTTCCCCATGTGTAACGTGTATATACATCAGTTTCCCTTAGAAAGTCCTCCCTCCCCTTAGGCAGATAGCCCTAGTGTGCTTTGCCATAATTAAATAAACCAAACCAATCTTGTTCAGTTCCACTGTTCAAGTCCTTTAATTGCAGTGTCAAGAATACCGACTAACTTGTCAATCAAAAATTTTTTCATTTTCAATAAGCTCTCTGTCACTTTCTTCACTATCGGAAGCAGTACATCAAAACACGCTTTCACTTTATAGATCCTTTGGCAGCTCCAGAATCGGAAACTCTTTTTGAAACGAAAGTCCAAGCTTACTTTTTATAAAATTGCTCTAACAGTCTGCAAAAAATAATAAGCCAGATCCGACTAGAAGATTAACCACTTGCACTAAAAAGACGTGCCAAGCACGTCGAAATGCTTTTGTCTCAAACCGCGAGCGACGTGAACACCAAGTTGATAGACATTTATAGCAAAAATGAAAATAACGTGGTGCACACGTCGCCTAACAACGAGATTGTTTATTTCTCGAGTTACAGCTCTGAATTGCACTTGCAGACACGGAGTGGCGTAAATGAGACCTTTTACCGCTTATTATATTGTAGCGCATGGCACTGCAACCGTGAAGTTTAGTCGTAGCGCAAGTGGTTAAGAAACAACGCAATCTGCAACATTAATTGAAATACATAATTTTAGCTTAGCTTATACTGTCCGTTATACATTAAATGTGCATGCGTAAGCGTATTATGTGCATGCGTAAAGGTATTATGCGCATGCGTTTACGCATGCGCAGAAAGTTTGTAGCTTTGAGGTCCGGATTATAGATCATTCCGGGTTATGGACATCGGTATTAAAGACTTTGTACTGTACTCATATATATATACCACTCACTACTTTTCGCAAGAGCCTGCATAGCAAAGCTTGTTAGAAATGTTTTCGAAACTTGCATTTAATTTTTAGTTACATACAATTGCAAACGTTTCACGCTTCAATTTGCATACACTCTCAGTTTACAATATGAAACTTTAACATTATACACCTTAGCCAATTTTTTACTGTACAGATATCAAACATTTTGGCCAGCTAAAGACTGTACAAAAGGTTTGATTCTGTAATTTTTAGAGGATTATATTTTTTTATTTAAAAATACCAAAATGTAAGTATTTGCATCACTTACAACAGTTTTGTAATTGGAAGTATATGTTTATCACTGAGTGTAAAAATAAAAGCCGCAAAAGAGCTTTAGTGGACATAATGTAACATATATTTATTTCGTTATTTACATTTGTTAAGAAATTTTAACACTACACACTTATAATAATAATAAAGAAAATAAAGAGTACAAACTTTTAGTTATACTATTATGAAAATAACAAATCCAGAATCTAAACTATTCAAAACATTTTACTATTTATGAATTATATGGAACCAGAAGTGGTGGTGATTAAAAGTGGTGATGACTTGGAAATAAACATTCTCTCTCTGTTGCAACCATGGTTTGAACTTTCAGCAATATAGAACACAAAAAGTACACCATTTTCTCATACAGTGCAACAACATGATGGATAAGATTAGGAGTTGCAAGCAGAGAGATCAGTTTTTAACCTAATAGAATAGATAAAATTTAGCTTCATCAGTGATCATCTTTTTCATGCTTTAAAACTGTACTGAAGAAAACTGCTAGATAAACACTAAGCAAGAATTAAGAAATTTAATAAAAATTTTAAGGAAAGTCAGTTGGTCCATCTCTACAGTTGCTTCCACAACAACTGATGTTGAGAGAATTCTCTTGAAGTTACCTACAGTAGTTCTTGTTTCAGATTGCCGCTAAGTACCAAAACATTTTGCAAATTATGCAATCCATTAACATGGATTTCAAAATATGCATCCTGCCTATGAACGCTTAACCATCAATTATTCGTTTAATCAACAGAAGGCTACTAAACGCTTTAAAAAATTATTTAATTCCAAAAGCTTAAAAAATATATATATATATCTGCAATTCACATTTACAGTAAACACTTATTTACACCTCGTGCAAAAAACGAAGCGAAAAATAAGCCATTTTCGACTCCGAAACACATACAAACGCAAGACGATGAATTTCAGGCATTTTGGTTGCAAATGTTTTGTTTTCTATTCGTTTCATTGTGGGATTTTTCTGCTGTTTCGTGTGCTTTATTATTGGTTAATTTTGATTTTCTGCATTGTTTATCATGCGCTCATCTGTTAAACGTTTCACTAAATTACGCCTGAAACGGCAAAAATTCCTGAATCATCTTGACTTTTTACTCAAGTGTAAATGTAAAAAATTGATCCCCAATTTCATTCAAATCAAATCTAATCAAAAACCTTCCAGTCGGGTTTCAAGAATTCTGTTAAACTGCAAGCTTGCCTTAGTTCAGTCCATCATAAGGGATACACGTCAACAATTGTTCAAAATTGAACATGAGCTCTATAAGCTTCAACTGGAACTCGCTAATTCATATCCAAAATTCACTGCCCTTGAACAAAAGTCTTGGTCCAGAACAGAGAATGCAGTTTACCGTCACACCCTTACAGTACCTTGTAAAACACCTTTGCAGTTAAATTCAAAAAACTTTTTACAATCTTTCAGTTCGAGTAGTTCAAAAAATCTTCCCATTGTAAACATTAAGCCAACAGTTAATATTTCTGATGTTAGTTTATCAGAAGAACAAGAGAGAATTCTAAAATATAATTTTAACTTCTCACAAACCTGTAAACCCTCGATTCCAAAGATTTTGGCTCCTATCGAAAAAGCTTTCAAGTTCAGTAAAATTTCAGATTCACAGAAAAAAATGATTAGGCATCTTATCGCTCATAATGTGAAATTCAATAATAAAACCTTTGAAACTAAATCTAACTGCGAGAGAAAGAGCAACAATGTGCAAAATTCTTTCTAACCCGGATATTACCATTTCAAAGGCCGATAAAGGTGGCCAGATAGTCGTCATGGATAAGAACACTTACATCGATGGTGTCACTAAACTCTTAAATGAAGGACCATATAATACGATCCCTAAAGATCCTTCACCTTCGGACCTGTCAAAAATAAAAACTGCGATCAAATCTACACAAATCATCGGAAGCAACTTAAAATATCCGCTTATCCCATCTGTTGCGAATTGTGCCAGATTACATGCTCTTCCCAAAATTCATAAAAGTGGTATTCCTTTCCTCCCCATTGTATCAAATTTAGGTACTACCTCGTATCCATTAGCTAAATATTTAGTTTCTAGATTTTCAACTCTATTAGACAATAACATTTACACCATAAAAAATTCAATAGAGTTTGTAAAAAACGTTAAAAACATTTCTCCAAGAAATTTACTCATGTTTTCTTTTGATGTAAAATCATTATTCACCAATGTTCCAATGGAGGGTGCATTAAGATGTCTAGAAACCAGACTTCGTGAATTTCATTTCTCTTGCATCGAAATTGATGAGCTAATTTCTCTCCCTCAACTCTGTTTGAAACAAACACATTTTGTTTTCCAAAATAAATATTACAAGCAAACTGAGGGATTAGCCATGGGGAGCCACCACAGTCCCATCCTGGCTGATATCTACGTGCATTATTATGAATCAAAATTGTTTGAAACTTTAAACTTCCCGGTATGGTTCAACTACGTAAACGATACTTTTACCCTTTTTTGAACGTAATAAGGATGATTTAAATAAAGTTTTTTCAACAATGAATTCTATTGATCCTACTATTCAGTTCAGTTTTGAACTTGAGACTTGCAATTCTCTTCTGTTTCTCAACATTCTAGTTACACGTAACACATCCAACATCAGTACTACGGTCTACTGTAAAAATTCATTGGTTTGCCTTCCACCACACTTTAAAATCATGTCATCCGACTAAACAAAAGTTAGCTTCATTTTATTCCTATGTTTTCCATGCTCTTCAAGTTTGCTCCTCCAAACTATCCCTTGAGGAAGAACTAAATTATTTAAAAGCAATAGCTATTGACAGGGGCTTTTCACTCAACATTACTAATCAAGCAGTTAAAAAATTCTCATCTCAACACACTAAAATGCACACTCTTGTTTTAAGATATTATAAAAATTCTGTTGTCATTCCCTTCTTTCCATCAATTAGCTATAAAGTTGCACATATTTTGCAGAAATTTAACTCTCCGGTAGTTTATTCTCCCATCAATAAAATTCCGAGTTCCATACTTAAGGACCAAATTCCGGATATGAATTCCTAGGGTATTTATAGGATTCCTTGCCAGTATGGTTTAATTTACATTGGCCAAAGTAAGAGAGCCTTAAAATTTTACGTCAAGGAACATGAGGCATATGTTAGAACAAAGGAAACACAGAAGACTTCTGTTGCCCAACATTGTTGGTCCGAAAATCACACTTTCAATTTTTCTGCTGCCAAAATTATTCAAAAAACATCTTCCATTGGAGAACTGGATTTTCTAGAGGCATTTCACATTCAAAAAAATCTTTCTGTTCTAGTTAACAATCCTAATTCTAATCCACCTTTGCCTTCGGCCTTTAAAGAAATTATGTTTTAGTTCTGGTTTCATCAACAGGTGGCGGCACTTGCTTATTGTTGTCCAGGCTTTCTAATCTTATCTTATCATTATATCCTATCTCATTCATTTGCGCTTTTGCAGATGAGGATGGTGGTTCGGTAAAACCATCGAAACTAGTCCTGTGAAAATTTGAAAATATAATTGTTGTTTGACTTCTGAATTTCCATTCTTATAGCTAGTCTGCACTTTTGAGTGCAGACTTTTTAAAGTTAACTTTAGACAAAGCAAATCATTTATTTTAAGTTAAACTTTCCCAACATATTTTCTTTTAGAAATGTGTAACTTCATTATGTGTCAATTACAACATTTTTTCCTTTTAAGCAATATTCTAAGACAGGGATTTTTTTATACTACATATATGGCAAAAGTAAAATTCAATAAACAGGAAGGTAAAAACTTTTAATGTCAAATTATATTTAGCTCTTCTCGTGTTATGTAATACACATAACCATATAAAGAAGAATATACAAAATTCAAACCTTTGGCACATCCTCTGTTCTTCCTGACATAAGGCTTGGATGCAGATAATGTCCATCATCATCATCATCTTCACTATGACTAACTAGGTAAGAGAAAACACTAACAGAAGCATGACAAATATCAACATAGTAAATTGTTGCTCACTTTGTAACAAATAGCATTTTTGGGGGGAGGATATCATTAAAATCTAAACTATGATATGCTTTGATTGCATAACTAGTTTTTGGTCAATCACAGCTGATAGACACAACTTAGTCGTGACAATCAATTTTTCTTAAAAGTGTAAAAAAGTAAATACCTTCTTTCCATGTTTTAAATTAAAACTGTCACCTTAAATAATTCTTTTGAATTCTAGCAGAATGAGTAATGTGCCTTCTCTCAAAAACCAAGGACATAATTTTCAGGAAGAATGAGAGCTTTTTTTTTTTTTTTTTTTTTTTTTTTGTTTACAATGAAAAAATGATAATTATTGTTGCTTAATAAAGAATGCTTCAATAGCTGTTATTAAAAAGATTAATATGAAGGAGTAATTTTTAATTTGGTATAACAATATAAATATCATAGAATAACTTTTTAATAGCTTTAAGAATAAGACTGAAATTATTTGCAGCCGATGTTCTTGTTTTCTCCTTCAATTTATGAATCCACAGATACAAATGACAAAGCAAATCATTTATTTTTATTTGCATGGTTTATAAAGATTACACATCCAAAGAGTAATTGCTTTCTTTGAAAGAAAGGACTAGATGTGTTTGTGAGTATGTGTGTGTATATATATATATATATATATATATATATATATATATTTTCAACTCTTTTAAAAAACTTCCTCACTGTTTTGAAACTACTACTTTTTAAAATAAATTCAATAACAATAGATGAAGTAAGCTGTATAAATTGATTTATACAAGGGTTGCCATTTTATATTTCTGGCCTAATAATGAAAAAACAAATGCTTATGATCGAAATTGGTTTTATTGTTTTTCAAAATATTCTCCATGAAGAGCAATACGACTTTTGCATGTGTTTGAACCGATTTTCGAAGGACTGTTTTCACTCCGACTGAGGTTACTCCAAACCTTGTGTTTTGAATGCATCAACCACTTCTTCGGGCATCGCAAATCGTTGACCATATAATTTATTTTTGATGTGTGGGAATTTAAAAAAAAAGTCACTGGGTGCCAAATCAGGGCTGTACGGCAGATGACCCATCTATTGGATGTTTTCGCCTGTCAAAAATTCCTTTGTTTGAGCCGATGTGCGAGAGCTCCCATTGTAACGATGAAGAATGATTCGCCTCTTCTTTTGCTTTTTTCGAATTTCTCCGATGACTTCTGGCAAACAAATGGTCGTGTACTATTCGGAATTCACCATCCTATGTTGCTCTAATGCCATTGTTGCCATGTGACCGGTAATGCTGAAGAAATAGGCAGCCATTTGCTTCGATGTGCTTCGTGACCAACTTTTGTTGGATTTGGATCACCTTAAAAACTCATACAGTCGACTGCTGTTTTGTTTTGGGCTCATATGCATAGATCCATGACTCGTCACCTATGTAGATGTTACACAGCCTCTGATGCACTTTGAATGTATTTTTTTAACATTTCCTTGTATCAATCGACACGAGCCTTCTTTTGAGCATTTGTCAGATTGTGTGGGATCCAACGTGAACAAATTTTGTTAAAATAAAGTAATATCTTATTGATGCTTGTCATACTAATGCCCAAAGATGCCTGAATCTCACGATATGTCATATGACGAACCTGCTTTATCAGTTCACACACAGCATCGATATTTTCTGACACAACAACCGATTTCGAATGACCTTCACGGAATTCGTCCTGGAGCGAACACTGATCACGACTGAATTTGTAATACCAGTTCTTTTTTAAAGTGCTGTAGGAATGTGCTTTATTGCTGTATAAAGAATCAAGTTCATCGAAGCACTCTAGTCTTGGTAATTCCATGTTGAGTTATGAAAAATAATTGCATGAAAATGTTCACAAGTCGATTCCATTTTTTTGCCAGAGATGAATTTTTCATGTACTATAAACAAAACAAATCATGATAAAAAGGCAAAATATTCCGAAGAAGTTATAATTAAAAATATCAAACTTTTGATTGGAATCATCTGTGGTCATCTAGCAACATTTACTGTTGCCAAGGGCAGAAATATAAATAGCAATCTTCATAACTGTGCCAAAGTGATGATGAATTCCCAAGTTTTTTTTTAGCTACCACTGCACATTTCATTGAAAAGTGCTAGCCAGTAAAAAATTAAATATAAAAGAAATAATTGGCATTGCTTTCAAAATTGTTAATTCTTATTCGAGGAAGTTTCTTCAATCAGGTTAATTGCAGTTGCAGTTTGATAAAGGATAGCCAGAAGAAGTGTTATTACATACCAATGTAAAGTGGCTAATAAAAAATTTCAGCAACGATTTTGTAATTTATCATTAACTAATATACAAGATTTTCTCAAACAGCAAGATTAAGAATGCACAAATTTAAATGATGAGATTTGGATGAATGACTTAGCATTTCTTACAAACTTCATTTCAAAATTACGTGTTTTAAATTTACAACTGCAAGGAAAATATAATATTTTAAATGATTAGTAGGCAAAATCATGCTAATAGAAGATCTTACACAATACAATATGAGACATAAATATGTCTGGCAAAAGCATCAGAATTACGAGCATCACCTACAAAAGCATCAAAATCGTAATTATATCATTGAAAAATTAGTTGTAGAATTAAAAAGTGTCTGAAAGCTTTGCGGTCAGCTTTCATGATTTCGAAAATTTTCAAGTTATTATGCAGTACTTGTCTTTTTTTTTTTTTTTTTTTAAATAATTTAAATGTACAACAGATTGCCACAAAAATATCTGACATAATTAAAAATGAAACTAAAAATGGGTCAGAAAATGAAATTATAACTTTACAAGCCACAGAACTTGGGAATTTTGGAAATATGCTAATTGAGGAAAGTGTCCCAATATTGCCATATATAGCAAATACTCTCTCACTCAACATATACAACTCTTGTTTCAAATGCATATACTTACATGAATCGGCTTTTCACATTTCAAGCGCACAGACACTAAACAACCGATTCCTATACACTTGAAGATTCATTATCATTATTTTTGTCTGGATACACACCAAATTATGAATGCATGGTTGGAAATATGCAGTCTTCCCATTAATGATAAGATAATAAAATTTAATCTGTAATTTTATTGTGACTACGTTTCAATTAATAAAACATGTTCACTTAATAACTTCCTCCATCCTTTGTCACTTATCAGTAATACAAGACATAAGTTTGAATCTGCTAAATGTCAAGATTTTTAATAGGTAGATCACATCACAGTTTTAAGGGAAAAAAAGTTGATTGTATGTATAAAGAAGTTAGCCATCTTTGAGATATATAACAATTTCAGAATAATTTTAAAATGTATAAGTATACGCTAATCACCAGGCATAAAAAGATTGGTGATTTATTGCTGAGTAAGTATATATTATATAGTAAGGAAAAAAAAAAATACATAGGTTGCATAAAAATTTTTATTAAAAAAATTCCCCTCCCCCCCTCATGAAAATCCCAAAATATTGGTAATCAAAACAAGTATTACTTTTTTGTATTGTTTTTAACTTTTTTCTGAAGGAAATAATTGTTTTGCAAGGCTCTGCCTTTTCTGCAGTTCTTAGATCTCATAATGAAAAAGTAATATACAAGCATTTTTTATGATATATTTTTACAAATGCAATTCTAAATGGTGTAGTTTTAGCTCTTTATTTATTTACTTATTTTAATGTTTGTATGTGTGCTGTTTACACAAAAAAAAAACTTCATATTCATGAAGAAACTTTTGTCAGAAGTGCTATCAAGCCATAATTTTATATACTGGATGGGTGAAAAAATTCTACCCATTTTTAGATGCAAAGACTGGATGACTTACACTACACGATTTGAAAGATTGAAATCTTTTATCACCAAAGGATGGGTAATAAAATATATAAAGGCAGTGTGCCAGAATTACATCTCCAGGAGCATTTAATAATTTCAAGTGGCAAACCACAAACATTCTTAAACAAAACAACGAATACTGTTGAACAAAACTGATAGCCTTTTTGGTCCTGATCCCTGGTGGATGTAGGTCTCATGTATGAGTGAGAATACTGAAGTTCCTTTGCCTAATGGCGATTCTAGAATTATCATGAGACGTTATGTGATCCAGAATTGCAGATATTGAAATACAAATCGATCACATCAAAAATGTTGTGGAAACGCATCATCAACAGAGCTGTTACATTTGGCGAATTTTTAAAGCAGCTTGCTGCTAAAACTAAAGCAAAATTTTTAGAAAAACTAAGCGGAGAGTTTCTCAAAGTATTCCTGCAAATGCCTGATGATCATAGAAAAATATGTATCGAAGAACCAAATCCCGCAGTGCCACAACTGCCAGCACTCATCGGAAAATTGCTTTTTTCAGCAACGCTGTGTGAAGTTTGCAAAAAATCACAGATCTACGGAATGCCCGATTAAAGGCAGAACAGAAGACCCAAAGTGTGTAAACTGTTCTAGTAAACATCCATCATCCTATCGTGGGTGCCCTGCATTCACTAAAAATAAACCAGCAAATAAAAAGAAAAGCACAATAAAACAAGGGCTAAGTTTTGCACAAGCAATGCAAATGCAGTCAAAACTCTCAAGCACAAAATGATGATAAGCACAAGTCCTAAAAAATTCCCCAAATGCTGAATTTCCCCAGCTTGTTAATAAAAACATGAATAATAATAATCAGAATGTTAATGTCTTTGATACTGCTACTAAAAATACTAGGAATTCTGAAGTGTTTGAATTTTTCAAATGTTTAAAAGAAATTAATGGCATTTTTGGCCATAATAATATCGCTAAAATGACTCAGATATTTAAAAAATATGTTCCAAAGTTAAAAGCTCATACTGATAATGTAGATAAACTGTCTGTATATTTTGAAATGCTGTCAGAAATTAATGGTTAGTACATTTAATTCTGTGGAAAACATTTCAACAGTCACATGGAATGCAAATGGCTTGTCTGCTAAATACAGTCAAAAGTCGTTAATCCGGACTCGTCGGGACTTCGGCGATTCCGGATTATAGATCATCAGTTTAAATCTCGTAAGATGGCATGCAGAAATTCTAAAATTAAAAATATGATGAAACCGTAATTTATGAATAAAGAACAATTATGATCTAAAGGGTATCAAAATTTGCAAAAGAAAAAGCTTAATATTTATTTGTTTACTTTATTAAACATTTCTTTCAATGTAAGTTGTTTAAGTTTTGCTTCGTTTCATGTGATAATATTTTCTCTTTAATTCTATAAAACAGACATAATTTCTTGTTCAGTTACAAAGTTCCGCCGTTCAAGTCCTATAATTGCTGGTGTCCAGAACACCGACTAATTTGTCAATCGAAATTTTTTTGTTTTCAATAACCTCTGTCACTTTTCTTCGCTATCGGAAGCGAATTATAATGACGAGGAACTTGTTTTAAATCATATCAAAGACGGAGCATATCGAGATGAAATACTACATTGGTAAGGAATTATAAGCCAAATAAAATAAAAACATCTGCGCTGAAGATAAGGATAGTGCTGACAAATCAACTTCCAATTCATTAGGCGCCCGCCGCCGAGCAGCGTGAAATTGATAAACAGATTTCGGATTTCAAAAACATACTTTCACTTTAGATCCTTTACATATTAACAAATATATATCGGAAATTCTATTTGATATAATCGAAAGTTTAAGCTTACTTTTATAAAATTGCTCTTACAGTCTGCAAAAAATAATAAGCCGGATGCAATTCGAAAATTAAGGAACAACGCAATCATCAACATTAACTGAAATAGATAATTAGATAATTTTAGCTTATACTTCCATTATACATAAAATGCATACGCGAAAACGTATTCTGCACTTGCGCACACTCATATGCGCAGTCGTAAAAGGTCTTACGCGCACACGTGAACGCCTCTGCGCATGTGTCAACGTGGCGCATGCGCATAAAGTTTTTAGTTTTGATGTCCGGATTATAGATCATTCCGAATTATGGGTGTCCGAATTAACGACTTTTGACTGTATAATGAACTTGTATTTGAGGATTTTGTAGAGGAGTACTGCCCCAACATTATTTTCCTTTAAGAAATTATGCTTAGTCCACAACAAAGTTTCAGAATCAGCAACTATGAAAGTTATAGAATTGACAGACCAAGAAGAAATAACAGAATTTCTGGTGGAATTATGATTTTAATTAAGCACTCCATCACGTACCATGAAACTACAATTCCGCAGCTTTCGGCCATTGAGGCTTTAGCTATAACGATCATATCACTCAACAATCAATCACTTTTGTCTCTATCTATTTACTAGCCCAAAGAACTCAAAAGGATGTTTTTGCCAATTTAGAGGCTATATCCAAGTTAAACACGCATGTTATTATTGGTGAAGACTTTAATGCACAACACAGAAATTGGAACTGCATTAAATTTAGCAAATACTGATACATAATAAACAATTTCGCCAGCTCGGCCAACTTAAGAATTGCAGCTTTGCTTTACCCAACATGCTATAACCCTGATAGTGATTTCTTCCTATTAAAGAACATTAATACTCTCACTAAAATAGAGAGCTCATGTGATTGTCATCAGATTACAATCCTGTACTTATGGAAGTTAATATCAGTAGTTATAGCACACCACACAAAAGAGTCCTTATTACTAACTGGGTGAATTACATCAGAGCTCTAAACAACACACAGTGTGGATGAGTTATACGCTGTAGTAGATTTCACCAATACTCTCAAAAATGCACTAAAAGATAATAGCAAAGAAGTGCCATTACAACAGAGAGCAAGAGATCCTGCAATCAGAAAATTAATCACTGAAAGAAATAGAGCAAGGAAAAGAACGCAGAGAACTCACTGCCCATTGGATAAAAGAATCATGAATGACTCATACCAAAAAGTCAGGTAATACACTAACTTACATGCACAAAACGAGTGGTTTAGATATTTGGAAAGTCTATCGAATAATGATAATTCTATCTGGAAAGCCGTTTCCAAATATAAAAGATGATACACTAATATTCTGCCACTTAATGGCCGAAACGGGATCGTATACAAAGAAACTGAGAAACCTGAGTCACTAGCTGATAACTATGCTACTCAATTTTTGCACCAACAACATCTCTGACCCAGACACTGAAAGCACAGTTAACTACATGAACAATTTATATTTTTCACAACCATGCACAGACAACATTTGTTTAGCTTTGCCATATGAAGCATTTCGATATATGGAGAAAAGACAAGTAGAGAAAAGCCCAGGAATTGATGGAGTGAGCAACACAGTAATACACGAAATGGGTGACATAATGATTTATAAATTTACTCGGATCATTAACTTCATCCTTACACTTTGTTATTTTCCAAAGAGCTGGAAAACTACTGTGGTGGTGCCTATTCAGAAGCTAACTAAGCCAGCTAATGAACCTACTTCTTACAGACCTGCGAGTTTATTAACTATACTCAGCAAAATAACAGAAGCTGCCATTTATGACTGCAGCCTGGAATACATCAATACTAACAAGATCCTAAACAACAACATGGTTTCGGAAGAGAAAGGGAGAGCACTGGAACTCTTTTTCTTGATATATTGAAGGCATTTGACCATGTCTGGCTAGACGGCCTACTCTACAAGCTTATCTCCCTGGGATTCCCAGGAGATACACATCATACATATCACTAAATCTTATCTCTATGAGAGGCACTTCGTCGTTTGCTATAAAAATACATATTCCACTCAGAGAAAAATACTTGCCGAGGTCCCTCATGGGTCTTTGGTAGGAGCAATTTATTTTCTATTATATGCGAATGACGTATCACACACCCCTTACACTTCTCTTGTCATGTATGCAGATGATACATCAATCCTGACAAAAAATGCATCTCTAAACCACGTAGCACAAGCACTACAAATGCACATACATGCACTAGAAGCCTGGTTTCAAAAATGGAAGATCCAAATAAATGTGGATAAGACAGTAGCAGTGCTCTTTACAAGGAAAAGAAGGATTGATCAACGTATAAAAATGTATGATACAGTTATCCTGTGGGCTAATCAAGTAAAGCACCTAGGTGTTACGTTGGATAGGAATTTAAGATGAAGGCCCCACACTACACAAGTAATAAATAAGTTCTGAGCTGCTAAATAAAAACTTGTGCCCTTGCCTTAATTTCTCAGAACTCAGTTTTATCTTTAGATAATAAGTTGCTCCTCTACAAAGTGATGTTGTATTCCATTATTACCTATGCATGTCCTGTTTGGGGCTTTGCCAGTACAGTACACAAGAAAAAAACTGCAAGTTTTGCAGAATGTTACTCTCAGACAGATAACCAAAAGTCACTGGTTTATCAGAAATATAGATATCCATAATGAACTTAAAGTTCTGGAAATTAAGAAGTTTATGGCAAAAATTGCTAAGAAGTTCTTTAAAAATATTTATAAGGTTGAAAATGAAAGCATTCTAATGCTCAACTACGATTTCAACGATATTAACAATGCCAAAAAACCTGGAGCTCTTTTAAGAACGTTAAACTAAAGTTTTGTAGCGATTTTGCTGGATTTCATTCTCTTACTCAAGTACTACTTCTTACTGCTATAATTGTATCACGAAAATTTTTTTGCCATAATTGCTATTTCTTCAATCTAAAATATTTTATTACGAACCTTCATGATTTTCTCGGACTTTTAAAATTTATGCTATGCAAAAAATAAGTTATGCACACCACCTTATGTTCCTATACACAGGATAGGGAAGTATTCCCGTGACTGATTGCTTGACTTCATCACTTGAGCAAAATTGATAATGGCAATACTACATCACACAAATCATAACGACTAAAAAATAATTATAGCAGGAGAATTTAAAAAAAAAAAAAAAAAAAGAGTTTTAGTTTAACTTTTGTGTATAAAGTTACATTATTTTCCCTTGATCCATTTTTCCCTTCATTATTTTTACAAACTTTCTAAATCGGAAAATGTAGCAATGCATATCTAGTTAGTACTTTTCGAAACAACTGCCATATAAAACTTATATTTTAGTTCTTCTGCAACAGATTTCCTATTTAAATAAACAATTATAAAACGTAATTGCAATATTATTGCTTTAGAATATTAAATTTCTTTTTTTTTGGAGTTATTTGTATCCAAGCGGTCTTTCAAAAAATACTTGAAAATGCAATTTTTTAAAGCATCCGATGAGTAACGCATAAAATCAAATCATAATGTTTCTATTCAATCACAGCTACCTAATTATTTAATATGTGGCAAATTTTAATCCAAATATAATAATACGATGTTAATCATTTGATCTATCGAAATAATTCAAATAGAAAAATTAGGGAAAAGAATATTACAACAAATAATTGTTAGGATGGCCTGAATTCTCAATAATGGTCATAAAAAAATAGCAGTAACAATAATATTTAATTGAAAAATTTACTTACCAGCTTTTTTTATTTGAACTGGCTTGTAAGACCCAGACTTGATTTCTTTTACGAGATGTTTGTAGTATGGATATAATGGATTATCAAGATGCATGAAACCAAATTGAGGATTAGTATGCTGTTTCATTTTAATAATAATTTCCATCTGACCTCCTTGCTCGCTTACAAATTGAGCAGTCTTTTCAATGATTGTGTGAATTTTCATGTTATATGGCTGAAATCGAAAATATGTAATATTACCCAAAGTAATGACTGAATGAAAATATGGAGAGGACACATAAATTTTTGCCTTTTAACATTTATGCCAAATAGTTTCAATATTGTCAATCTGGCATGTAACTCTTGCAAAATCATAATTTAGTTTTATCTATTAAGTGTATTAAAACAGTTATACTTGCTCAGTTATCATAATTCACTTTCAACTGATCAATTAACCAACAGTTCAGGCTACAAACAAATAGAAAAATAAACACACACACACACACACACACACAAAAGAAAAGAAAAAAAAGAAAAAAAAGGTGTTAGGACAGCAAGCATGTTTAGATAATAAATATGTCACAAAATAATCAAGAGAAGCAGCAATGTATGTAAGGTTTACAGAACTGTATTTTACTGCTATCTGTGTACAGTTTTTGTAAGAGACTTCAACAGTTGTATAAATAAACTTTTTGCTAGTTAGTTTATGCCTATTCTCATAAATTTTTTTAATTTCTTATTAAAAAAGGGTTATTACATTATGGAGTTTAAAAGCATTAGATATAATATTAACTGCAAAAGCTACACAGAGGTTGTTTGCATATTTTTTAGGTGTTTTCCACTGTATTTATAGACATATTTTACCTAAGATTTTTGTGTTTTTAATGTTCCACCCTTATTCTTCACCATCTTTATACACCGTAATTTCCAAGACCCATTTTTTAGTATTGAAAGAGATATTTTATCTCACTTTTCTTGAACAGCTTCCCAAAGTCCGACAAGGGTTGTAGATTGATGTTTGGACAATTCCTTTTTTTAAAATCCAAACATGAAGAAATACGTGGATGATACATCAGGAGGTTTAGCAGGGATATGATTGAAAGGTAAGCCCTTTTTACATATTTCTACTTTTCTTGATGCAGTTCTACTGATTGATGGAAATGTGGGTAAAGAGTGCATTTCACACTAGAAAATTGGGTATAAAGTATGTTCCTGATTATATGTGGAGTTTTCTACACTCTCGTTAGTTTTTATTTATCGTTATATCAAAAACCAGCAACAATCATAAATCCCTTTGAAAAACTTTCCTTAGATTCTTTGAACCATGTTTCAAGAATTTTTTTCCTCCTCTTTGATGGTAATAATCGATCTCTTTTTACTGAATTCATTTACATACACCCAAGATTCATCTATTATGACAACATTTTTCCATTTTTCTCCGGATAAATGCTTCTTATAAAGAATTCTGAAGCGAGTTCTGCATCCGGCAATAAAGATCTTAGATAACGATGATGCACATTGTGTTTTTTCGTCATTTCAAGATTAAAATCAGCATTAATCAGTTTGTTTATAGTTGACAGTGAGCATTTTAATGATTTTGCTACTGTCCTTTGACTTGGTGGAGTTTCATTTAGCATTAAAAATCTTACCTTTGCAAAATTAAAAACATTCTGTGACAGACAGATACTATTTCGGAGAACTAATACCAGTGGTGATATACTGTTAAATTGCTTCTTGTCTATCATTCTGAGCACTTTAAAATATTCCGTAATTAAACAAAGGCGATTGAATGAAAGGGATGTTTAAGGTTTTGTGCTTTTTGGAAGTAATAAGGACAGACCAGCAAACTATCTCAGAAAACACTAATATTGCTATTAGATAATGTACCAGGATATTCTAAAGACCTTGAAGATATTTTGCAGGAAGATTTTCCCAGATTGACAGTTCAATTTCTACCTTTAAATATCACTTTGTTGATTCAGCCTATGGATCAGGAGGTTATTCCAAGTTTTAAGAAACTGCATTCTTACACACTATTTCATCAGCCCTTTGAAATAAGTCAGATCTCTTCGACAATGACAATAAAATCATTTTATACAGAAAAATTCGATATTATTGAAGCTACATGGCTCATTCAGAAAGTATGCTGAAAAGTCATGTAATATGGAATATAGAAATGATGTAACAAGAGATCTGCAAAAATTCTTTCATATGAATATATATGAAGTCTCTCCCCATTGTATTACATACTTCTGAAAAACATCAGCTTATTTTCTTCTATGACATAAAACAATATTTTGCGAGTTTCTATAAAAAAATGCAACATAAAAGGTTCATTATTCCCCCCAAAAAAAACATTTGCTACTAATGAGGGTGCAGACATACGATTTGCTCAAAGCATACTTTAGGCTTTTGCCATTTGTGAGTGACGACTACTGTCATTTTCAAGCATTCAACCATTATGACTCAAATTCTTCTTAACGCACTTCAGCTGCTAATCATTTACTATATCACTTTATTGTCTTTGCATAATTTAATACCTCCAGAAAAAATAAAACTCTTTTGTTACTAATAAGAGTGCAGACATACAATTTGTTCAAAGCATACTTTAGGCTTTTCCCATTTGCGAGTGATGACTGTTGTCATTTTCAAGCATTCAGCCATTATCATTTCTAAGCACTTTAGCTGCTAATCATTTACTATATTCCTTTATTATCTTTGCATATTTTATGCATTATTTCTTTAAGAAATCTGCAAAAATTAGTATTAATCATTAACCAACTTCTGTCAAACCATATACATTCTATACTAAATTTGGCCCAGTGAAAGAACAAGGAAAACTAACAAGGAAAAATTTAAAGAATTTATTGAAGGATAACAAAAGACAAGGAAGAATTTAAACAATTAAAACATGCCTCTAATGTTCCTCAAATGTAGCATAAATAATGCCTACGATATCAAACAACACGTTACAGAAGTAAACTTTGTAAAAGCTATAGAGCCTGTTGAGCAGGGTGATGATATTGTTAGTGAATATGACAAAAACTACTGAAATTCACATTAGAAGTGTACTAGTTTATAAATATGGTCAAATTTATCTGATCACGAAGTCTGTCAAATTTCAAACTTCATTATATTTTAGGTTGGTTAGAAACATATCACTTGAATTAGTCCAATACATGAGACACAGATATATACATTAGCTGGAAATATATACACACGGAATTATTTGCTTAAAGAAATTGAAATCTTCATTAGCTTTTGTTTATGATATATATGTGAAAACTATAAAATTGTTATGCAATCAACCTTTTTACTAGGATCCAAACTACAAATGCTCATGATCGAGCATAAAGTATTTTACAATATATTAAAAAATCACAAAGAATCAACAAGTAAAAATGACCTAATTTGAATAATTTCGTTTCAAATAATATATAACAAATATCCGATAAACAGTACATAAAAAATAGCTATACTTAAGCAAAATTCATTCATTTTATACATATTAATAATAATAAAATTACTGAAGTTCATTTCAAATTTACTTTTTCATCCCATGTAAATACAAAAAGTATTATATACATGATGACCAAAAAAAAAAAAAAAAATTGTAATTAATAGCACTGGAGTTGCATTCTTCACAATGGGATGTATCAGTCTGTATGGTTAAGATATTTGTTGCGTTCAGAATTGCACACAGAAACAGTAATACACATACAGATGACATCATTGTTGCCAAATGTATCCAAAATAAACCAATGAACAATCAATCTCTTTTTGGGGGTGGGGAGAGATGGTTGGAAGAATTTAAAGTGATAAATGTTTTAAGGGGGTTACAGATTTTGGTTTTAACATACAAGGAGAAATATTTAGGAACTTCTGTAAAGACTATTCTATAATCTTACAGTACATAAAAAAAAAAAAAAAAAAAAAAAAAAAAAGCTATACTTAAGCAAAATTCATTCATTTTATACATATTAATAATAATAAAATGGCTGAAGTTCATTTCAAATTTACTTTTTCATCCCATGTATTTATCTTAATACAAAAAGTATTATATACATGATGACCAAAAAAATTGTAATTAATAGCACTGGAGAGTTGCATTCTTCACAATGGGATGTATCAGTCTGTATGATTAAGATATTTGTTGCATTCAGAATTGCATACAGAAACCAGTAATACACATACAGAAGACATCACTGTTGCGAAATGTATCCAAAATAAACCAATGAACAATCAATCTGTTTTTTGTGGTGGGGATAGATGGTTGGAAGAATTTAAAGTGACAAATGTTTTAGGGGGGTTACAGATTTTGGTTTTAACATACAAGGAGAAATATTTAGTAACTTATGTAAAGACTATTCTATAATCTTATTGCATTAAGTGCACAAGTTATAGGAGTTGTACAACAGAAATTAAAATGAGGGACCATGAACTGTCCCAGTATCTATCTCCCAATGGTATCGTCTCACTTCTCATCAAAGGATGATACAAAGATTGAATGGAACAATTTTATGCAGACTTCAAAACAGCAATTTAAGTGCTTTAATCAATGGAATTGCAAACCATAATGTGAGCAGCAGGCCTCTTTATGTAAAATAAAGTTGCTGAGCCATTCAGCCTTCAAAAAGAAATCTTTTTGTTACTTCTCATTACTCCTTCAAAGTCAGTTAATGAAGAATCTGTATGTATATATGTTCTTCGCATTACAGAAAAATGTTGGCACCTAGGCCCATCAAATTTTGAAACCACATAGTCCTTTGCCCAAATATATGTATCTCCAAGCCTGAGTTTTGATTTATTTCATATTTTGTGCAAAATTAATGCAATTTTAATTAACCAATTCAGTGATTTAAAAGCAATGCATCGTCACTTGGCTAAATGTAAGATATTTATGTTAAAAATTTAATCAAATATTTAAGCAATTTTTAAAAAAATGCCACTCAGCAAAATGTACTATCTTTATCTTTCAAAATAATTAACAAACTCAGGGATTTTAAAGAAATGCATTTATTCCCACTGTCCAAATTTAATTTTTTTCGAAGGCATTTAGAAGCAATAAACCTGATTCATCACCTCTATTATTATTAATTACTAGCTGGACCCAACATATTAAATTAGTTATTTAAAATCATTATATTTTTCCCTCTTTTCTTAATAACTATGTCACAGGCCATACAAATTAGGCCTAAATAAATAAATTAAGCCTAAATAATATTTAATATACTAGGCCTAAAATTAGGCCTAGTATATTAAATATTAGGCCAGTTCAAAATGCAGAAAAAGTGGGAGGAAGCACTGTTACATTAAAATAAACAGTTAAAATGAAAAGGAACTTCCTAAAAATTATTGTAGTTACTGAAGCTTTTGAGTAAATTTTAAAACATGGGGGGGGGGGAACCACTTGGAGTGCTGTTCTAAAGCTAAACTAATTAAAGCTGACTTTAGTAACTTAGTCTTAATAACAAAAAGAAATTAAATATAGAAGGAAAAAAACTACTAGAAAATGCCTTTAAATTCTTAAAGTTATTAGAGCAAACAAAGATTAAGAAAAAATACTGACAGATAATTTGATGTCAGAAGACTAATACTTTGAAGAATTTATGAAAATTTTAAGTAATTTTTTAAATCAATAATTAAAATATATGAATTAATATGCTAAATACTAATTTTAAATCACAATTTTATTGTAATGATGATAATTTAGCAAATGACATTACTTATTATTATAATTAATCATTTCAAAAATGGGGTTCCTTTATTTTGGCTCTTCCCATAATTAGAAATATAATTCCCATAAGTAGAAAAATAATAAGTTGTACAACAGTCTTTTCAGACAAACAAGAATGGCCCAATTCCCCCTTTCCTTAATCAAATTCTGTTAGACTTCATAGTTATCAGTATGTAAAGTTAGTAGGTTAAAGTAAATGTTTAAAGAACATAATAATCATGAAATCGAAAATTTCACATAACTTACCACTTCCATCCCTTTAGGTACCTTAAGTCCAGCAGGTACTTGATAAAGTTCATCTTCTGGTTCTTCAACTACAATTTTAAAAAACATATTTTTTCTTACACAAATATATGCTTATTAAACATAATAAGAAAACAAATATTTTAAAAAATTCAATATATTTTAGCCATTTTTTATCTTTTTTTTTTATTACTTACTTCCACATAGCAACCTATGCAGTTAAAACATAAAATGAATTCATATAAATTAAAAATATGCATTTTACTGTTAAATTTGTATTGAATGAGTATCCTTTAACAAGGATATTCATTCAGGGAGGCTTATTAGCTAATCAATAATTACTACCAACCACTCACCCTCAAACATTACATTTAATGCTGAGTTATCACTCTTTACACAAAGAAAACACAGAAACAAGAGCTAAACAAAATGTAAAATATCAACTTTATTTCCTCACTGGTGAGTAAACTTAATACAAAACTTAAGTCTCCTTGACTTTGAGCTGCTCGCTTAGAACACATAAAAGTTTAACTGGATACACCAACAATGCTCACACTCAAAACAATATATATTAACCATGTCAGACAACCTAATTTGTACTGAAGTTCACATAAAACCATGCCAAATGTCAGACATTCACTTTTAATCTAACGATGGCTTTTACTAGGCAAGGCAGATTGCAGCAGCACAGATCAAATCTCTATTATAAGTCATCCAATTACAAGTCTTCTTCACAAATGATGCAACAAAGCATAAAGAAAAGCTTCAAAATAAATCTTGACTATTAGTTGAATAAAATGTCATACTCGGTAAAACAATTTTTCTGGAATAATTCTAAAACAGATTACTCCTTGAGTTAAAAACTACAAAAGAGCTAGCTTTTATTTATCTTTGATACAGCATCATTATGATAAGCTTTCAGCTGGGCTTTCTGTTGAGTTCCAATTTTTTTCATGCTGTACTTTCTTTGATATTTGCCTGCACCAGTGTTTAGAAATTAAACAAGAGCTTTATTTTGAACTTAAGATTTTTCTTCACTTCAGGCATATTCATGCTTGCATAGCAGACATGCATGAATTAAAATTCATAAATTTCTTTTCCCATTAGATGAGGAAAATGCAATACATACATGTAATAATTTGGCAGTCAGGCACAGGAATAATGAAGTTTGACATCAGAGTCCTGGCATTGTTATGGCTGAGTGTAATATAGCAGAATGATGACACAGAACTTTGCCTTTAATTGCACACCTTTATTCAATATAAATGCAGATCATTTTTCTTTTAGATAAAATTCTCCAAATTACATATTCAATAGTGATTTAAACCAAATAACTTTAAATTTACTGCATCATACTATTCGAACAAAGGGAGACAGATCAGCGGCGGCAAAGGTCTGATAGCAGCAGGAGGAGAAAGCAGTCTGACAAAAAATGACGCGAACTCTGTATTTATACTAGCAGTTACACAACATGCCAGAATGTTCTCAACAGTACTGGTCTAGGGGAAAAATCCTGAAATTGTGGAAAGTTAATTAGAGGTTGCCTGTTCGCGTAGAGCAAAGCCACCGTATTTTTTATATTATATACATATATATACATGAAATGTAGATTCTCGTGCATTATTGGTGTTGCGCAGTTGGAGCAACAGAAATGAGACAAAATTTTGAATATAAAGTGATATGTTTATTTTAGCATCCATCTCCCAAGCGTTTCTCCTTTCTGTACATCGAGGAGAAGCCCTATTTATAGATATGTGAGCATCATGGTGCTCATCAGTGATATTAATTGAGATCAGGAGGTGACCTATCTTCTCATCAGAGTGTTCTACATTCAAAAGTCTTTAATCCGGACCTCAAAGCTACAAACTTTCTGCGCATGCGTCAACGCATAATGCGTTAATGTATGCGCATAATACGTTTACGCATGTGCGCAATACGTTTACGCATGTGCGTTTAATGTATAACGGACGGTATAAGCTAAGCTAAAATTATCTAATTCAGTTAATGTTGCAGATTGCGTTGTTCCTTAATCTTCTAATTAGATCCCGCTTATTATTTTTTGCAGACTGTTAGAGCAATTTTATAAAAGTAAGCTTGAACTTTCGATTATGTCAAAAAGAATTTCCGATTCTGGAGCTACCAAAAGATCTACAAAGTGAAAGCATGTTTCGATGTCCATCAAACAAAAAGTGGAATTGCTGCAAAAAATGGATAAAGGCATATCGTTTGATTCTCTAACCACTTCGAAATATGTTTATCAATTTCACGCTGCTCTGCAACGGCCGGGGGGCAATGAACTGAAAGTTGATCTGTCAGCACTATCTTTTTCTTCAGAGCAGATGTTTTTATTTTATTCGGCTTATAATTCCTGACTAAATGTAGTATTTCATTTCGATGTACTCCGTCTTTGATATGATTTAATTCAAATTCCTTCTCATTATAAATATCACGAATACACATCAAATAGTTTTCTAGTTGAGATTTTCTAATTTTGACTATGCGTAATGTATGCTTTACACATGCGCGTGTTGAAAGAAACGTTTAACAAAGTAAACAAATAAATATTAATCCAGAACTTTCTGGATTTCACCATTTTCGTAATCGTCAAAAACCTCCTGCAGATTCCCACAATTAGTTTTCCATTTTCGCATGTTGAAACCAGCAGCCTTCAAAATATATCTAATGTCTTCATATATGAAGTTTAGCTTTGTTTTCGTCTTCATCCCACCTATTAAATCGTCTACGTATAAACATTCGTTCAATAGTTTAACTGCTTTCTGATTTGTTTCTTTAAAGGTGTTTATTTTAGTGGTGTTTGATAGTAGCGGCAAGCAAAAATGGGCTAGATGTAGCTCCAAACAAAACGCAAGTCATCCTAAGTATTTTCGTGTTAGATTTCCCATCCTTATCTGTAAGGTTATTTGTTCACAAAAATCTTACAGCATCCCTATCTTCAGGTGACAGAGAAATCTGGAGAAAGGCTTGTTCAATGTCAGCAGTAAATGCTATGCTATGTGTACGAAATTGTATTAATATCTCTAACAATGGATTTAAATTAGGACTGGAATAGAGACAATCGTTTAAAGAGTATTCATTTTTTGAATGGCTGGATGCATCAAATACAACTCTCATGGGTTTGTCAGGTCGAATAACTGGCTGGTGAGGCATGTAATAAATTCTTCTTGTTTCTTCAGAACTTGGATCAATTTCCTCAGCTATACCCATTTTTAAATGCTGTTCCATAATTGAGTGATACTGCTGATGAAGCAGTGGATCATTTCTTAACCTTTTAACCAGTTTATTAAAGCGAACTTCTGCATTTACGTAATTCGTTTTTAATTCAGACGAATGTTCATTCCAAGGGAGTTTAACCTCATATCGCGTTTCTTTAAATTGATAGTTCTGTTAAAATTCTCTGAAATGTTATTATCTATTTTACTAATTTCCTTCCCTTGTTCTATTCCCAATGTTTCCAATTCCCAAAACTGCTTTAACTGTGTTGAGACCAATTTGTCATCAACAATAATGTCCATGTTTATACCATTAGAATCAGTCCGGCCTTGAAGGCACCATCCAAATATTGTTTCGGAAGTTATAAGTTTATTTTTAAAACGTTTAAGTCTACCAGTTATTACTTCATGATAGTAATCTGCTCCAATCAAAACAGCAATATTTTTGTCACTGAATTCACAAGAATCAGCTAATTGTAGTCCTATTATCTCTTTGTTAATTTTGGAAACTGGGATATCAGAGAAAGGTAAATTAGTTGTACATATTTGGTTACTTTCTAAAGAATTTTGGAAACTGGGATATCAGGGAAAGGTAAATTAGCTGTACATATTTGCTCTAAAGCTTCAATTTCTATATTAAGGGATGGTTCACGTCTGTTTTTTCGAGTTTGACTTTTCACAACATTGTAAGTTTGTTCTGTTGCCTGGTTAACCCCAAAGGCAAATACGACAAAGTCTTTCCTTCGAATAACAGGTAATTTACACTTCTCTGAAATGTCCCGAATTATAAAACTTCTCATCGATCCATTGTCTATAGAATACGAACTGGTTCTAAATTATCCTTCCTCAGAAAATGGACGTATCATCACAGTACACGTTTGTAGCAATGCAATGCGGAAAGTTTCGGTTTTTAATTGGACTAATCTGAACATCTTCTTTACTGGATGGAATTGTCGACACGAACCTTGTTTTTCTCCGATTTGGTTTCGAGGTTCCGATTTGGTATCTAAACAAATAGACCTATTGTGTTTTTTATTACATATTTCGCACATTTTTCTTTCCTTTCCTTACACTGCTTAATTTTATGCTGAGATTTTAGACACAAAAACATCGGGCTTGAGATTTTAAAATATTTCTTTTCTCCTCCACGGTTTTAATTTCGCAGTGCTCCGAATCGTGTAGTTCGTCACAATATATGCATTTACTGCTAGCGACTGGAGCAACATATTCATACGTTTTAGGCGAACTTCTTTCAAACAGTTTAATGCACTTGTTGTTTACATTATCATGAGCGGAGTGGAGACGAACGTTTGATTTATGCCTCCAGTTTTAAATCACTTTCGCTCGGTGTTTCCTTTTTGTTTCTCTACTCTCATTTAACTGCATAGCTCTTTCGCGGCTTTCTATTTCTTTACGAATAAATTCAATTAATTCGTTAATGTTCCATGTTTGGTCACTGTTTCTACTGCGACTGTATTCTAATGTTATCTCTGATGGAATTAATTTTAACAATATTGGGCAAAGTAAACTACTGTAAGTTTCTGATACGACGTTCATTGACTTTAAGCATCTAATTTGACTTTCACACTGATCATATAAATTCCTAAGATTTTCTATATCCCTTACATTTCTAACAGGGGAAATATTTAACAGTTTATTCATGTGAGCATTTATTACCAAATCTTTTCTCCCAAACCTGTTAGTTAACAGTTCTATAGCTGAATCGTAGTTCTCATTTATAAGCGAGAGTCCAGAAACGGCATTATAAGCTACCCTACCTAGTAATGACTTTAAGTGACTGAACTTATTTACTTTCGATAATGAGTCGTTGTTATGGATAGCTGCCTCGAATTGACTCCAAAATTCCTGCCAATTGCTAGAATCACTAAAAAATTTAGCGATAGTCAATTTTGGAAGGCGAATAATTTTATTATTTTCAAGTTTGGAATCTATAGCGGTTTCATTAGGAATGTTCATACTTTCCTTATCCGAATTTTAGAGTTTGTGTAATTCCCTCAATTTTTTTCTTGCTCTAAATTGCCACAGTTGGATTTTTTTGTCATATTCTAGAGCGGATGAAACTTCAAGTTCAAATTCATCCTCCGAGACCTTCAAATCCTGTTCTATTTGAGTGTTTAAATCACTCAGAGTTTTTGCCTTTTCGTTTAATATGTCTAAAGTTTCTTCTATTACATTTATACTAACATCATCTTTGCTTAATTCTGTCTCAATTTTCTTTAGTACCTTGGACACTGCGGTCCTTAATACTTTGCATTTCGATTTAAGCTTAGCGACAGCATCTTCCATAATTACTTTAAAATAGAAAACTTATCCTACCTGTTTGCAGGCTTCGCACACTTCACACCGTGCTAATCCATACTTACGAATCCATATTTTCGAATATTAGCCGGCTTCCCGGCATGTAGCACCAAAAAATGTTATTACGCACTAATGTACACTATTCGAATCACGAATGTCGCTGCCTACGCATCTAACTATGAATCTAACGACGTATCTAAATGCCACATCTAAATTTCTGCAAGCAGTGGTTCAGCTATAATTCTATGATCAAATACTCAATCTAGTTTTAAAAGATTTATTAAAATACTAAAATTAATCTAATCTAGAATCTAGAATCGAATCTAATTTTACATCTCAGGAGCAGTGTTCTAGCTGCGTCATAACAAATCTAAAGTCAAGTTCTCCCTGTTGCCATTCTGAGGCAGAGAAAAGTTTGTTTCTAATCAAACCGGAACATTGGCATAGTGAAAGTTTCTAGTCAAACCGGAACACCGTCAACGCAACGTGTTTATGTTTTTCAACGTTGCAAGCAGTAAAATCATGAGTGCGTTTCTTATCTGTCATTGTATTAAAAAGGGCTGAAATTAAAAATATTCTTAATTTATCCACAAAATATCCAGATTAAAAAAAAAGGCAGCACTAAACAATCTCGTGAAATGAAATAAGAAAATCGCAGAAAATACAACAACGTGAATCGTGAACTTGAACAAAGAGTTGAGTGAATAGTCTGCTTTTTCCTTGATGCAGATTAGAGGAAAAAAAAACTCTTATTTTTTTTAAACTTTTTTATATCAATAATTTGATATTTCCTTTTGACTCATTATTATTCGGTAAGTATTTTTTTCTTCAATATTTCGTACTCAATGTTGCGGTTTCCGGAACCTATAAACCGAATGTTTATATTCTGAAAGGCAACGTGAATTTCAGGAGTTGGCGGATTTTCGGTATTTGACTGTATAATACTGATTTTTATTGTCTGACTTCTAAATTAGTAACATTACTGCTGTTTGGATTGATGAAGGTTAATAAAACTTATTGCAAAGTGTTATTGAGAAGTATATATTGTTAAAAAATAACAACAGATTATTATTATTATTATTCTAACAACAGTAATTTGATTGGAATAAAAAAATACCTTTAGAAGCTTCAGGCTGCTCATATTTTTCACTTTCAGCATTATCATATGTAAAACCTATTTCATGGTAGGCACCATCGCTTGCTATCGCTGCACGTAGACGTTTCAGCTCTTCCTCTGTAATAATACCAAATTTTATAGGACAAGAATATATAATTTTAAAAAACAGCAATATAAATAATTTTATAATGCAAATTTAAATTTTATTATTCTTTTTAGCACTTTATAAAACTGAATAATTTTTTACATCACAGGAAAATAAATTTTACAAGTGAAATTGAAGATAATGTTTTTATGTGTTGCTACTAAATTCAGTTTTTGTTTACTTATTAATTAATCATTATCAATATGTGTAACAGCAATTAAAATAACAAAATCATGAATAAATTAGTAAAGAAAAAACTAGAATTATTTATAAAAAGCATGCTCTGAATCTTCCAAATATAAAAAATTACATATGCAATCAGAAATAATTTTACTCATTTTATTCTAAGGGGGAGGGAACATTTAGCTAACCAAAATATGTTAAAATATTTCAAAGAGAAATTAAAATAAAAAATTGCAATTATCATTTTAAAAATAGCTATCTCTCTGGAAAACTGTTCTACTTAACACAAAAAACAATTTTTTTAGGTATCTTTGCTCGGAAAAATTTTAAATAATTAGGTTTAATGATTATTTTCTAATTGACTGACCTGAATGAAACCTGCCATTAAACATCCTATCATTGTAAAAAGTTGTTATCTAAAAACTTACTGCTTAAATTAACTTTGGAAGAATGTATTTTTAAGAAAAGTTGCCTAATGTATTTCTCATTTATACATGCGATACTAGCATAAATAAGAAAATCATAATTAAAAATTTAAAGCAAAATTATTGAAATCATACTATAGAACTATTAGCTTGTAATTCTTAATGAATTTCATACATAAATTTCATGAAGTCTTCCCCCCCCCCAAAAAAAAAACTAGCTAAATAAACTTACTTTTAGAAATTTATGAAATAATAATATCAACAATTTTTTAGCTCATACGCGTAAATGATACGAAAATTTTTAAATGTCTTTTCCGTCATTCTAATATTTTTCCTATTACACAGATATCTTACCTATTTATTGATAAAAAATTATTATTTAAGCAAGTAGATACATCAAAAACTGCTCATATATCTTGCATACTGGGAATAATATAAGTTGTAATAGGGAGGGTGAAACCATGAAAAATATTGGGATGAAATAACTTTTTATTGCATACAGCTGCAACTCATTTCTTATTTATACTATTAAAAAATGAAGAATTTATATATATATATGTTCTTCACATCACCTTAGCATCTAGAGCCACCTAATTTTAAACATATGTAGTCCTCCACACAAACTTGAGCACCTTGAAGCCAGAATTTGAATTTTTCAAAAACACTTGCATATTTTGCATAAATTTAATTACATTACGATTAACAAAAATGACAATTTAAAAGTAGCTACTTGATAAAGCGAAAAATATTTCTAATTTAACTTTAATAATAAATCTGTTTCTGTTTTAACTTTAATAAAATCAATAATTTAAAAGAGCAACTCGGCAAAATGTAAGATACTTATATTTCAAATTTAATCAGAAAACTGGGCAGTTTAACAGAGATGTGTTGCTACTACCTGAAACAAAATATTTTTATCTTCCACGTGACAAATTGTTGCATAAGCCATATAATTTTCCTATCATATTTAATCAGTCTGTTAGTGATTAACATCTAAGCAATTTAAAAGCAATTAACACAGTTCTTTACCTCTATTATTTTTAATTACTGGCTGGGCCCACAAAATTACATTAGATGGGATGCTTAAAATAATATATTTTTCCTTTTTATAATAACTATTTTAGATGGCCAGTCATACAAATAAGATAAATGCAAAAGTGTCATAATTTGATTTCAGAACTGAAAGTGAAAAAAAATTATCAAAGGAAATTATTTCTGAATTATAGAATAGGCATTACTTAGCAAGACTCTTAAACTGATTTCACATAGTTTCCCTTCTGCGCATGAATAATTATATAAATGCAGTTTCTCCTACTGTGCTGAAATTTTAAAACCATTAAAATTCTTTGCACTCCAGCTCATTCAAAACAAAGAAAAATCTTACAGCTTACAGCAAAAAAATTCCTGAAGGTTATTTAAACAAATGAACTGCGCTGAATTAACAGTTTATAATGTTACAGGATTATTTTAGTAACAAAAGTTTCATAACTGTGAGAAATATGATTTCATTAAGAGCTGAATATAAATATATTAATATTAAATACTAACACCCACCCTTATTTTGTAAACAAAACAAGGGTGGAAAAGAACTTCATCTATATACAAACCATTTCTTTCAAAGAACACCTCTAACTTGCCCTAATTAATAAAACAAACGATTAGTTTTCTTTCACAGAAGCATTAAATGTAATACCACAAGAACATACATATATATTACATAAAAATATCAAAACATAAATTTTTATAAAATTAAGCGTAATCTAGATCTTGCAGTGAAATAATATATTACGTTATGAGAAGAATGTGCTGATTGTTTACAATATTTTCCCCAAAACTTTGGAAGGCACTCTTTCTGTCTGCAAGATCGGGCTTCTATGGCTGGCAGCCGAATCAACATCAGTCAAGGCTGATTCCATTCAAGGCCAAATACTAGTTCTGCACAAAAAAAACTGAGACACATTATTGCAAATAACATATATTAATCAATACTATGTCACTCACAAGCATTATTATATATATTCTCATGGCCATAAGCTACATATAAATCAAATAATTAAAAATAAATAAAAGAGGAATACAGCCCAGGAAAACTATTTTTTTCAGTAAAAGTTACACTTTGAGAAGTCCATATATAATGAATGATTAATTTTTTGCATAATTGCAATAATTCACAAAAATAGAATAAAAAAGGGGATAACTTACTAGTACATAATCTAGCCAATTTGCTAAAAATAAATATATATAATATTTAATTGGATATTTCTCTCAGATTCTCACCTTGGTAAAGCTGTTCTTCAGAAACATCTGAGCGAAGAGATCGATACCTTTCCTCATCACATAATTTTTCTTCCTCTAAGTAAGGATCTTCATAGGTCCCAGATATAGGTGGTTCATACTGTTTTAGGTCATGAAGATAGCCTCGTACATCATACCTGAAAAATAAGCACAAAGTTATGGTAACACAAGAAGTTACAGTACAAAGTATAACCTTTTGAAGGAACTGGTATATTAAATACACTTGAAATTGATCAAATTTTTAACTCACTAAATGCTATTTTTTTTAATGGCAAAAGCGGTAATCTTGAGTTTCTACTGTTTTTTTATACTAGACAACAAATCTACTTTATCAATGCTCAATATTTTTTAGCTATTAAATAAATAAATCTTGTTCAAAGGTTTCATGTCTCAAGAATCATAAAATGTACTGGAAAAGGATAATTCAAAATCTACAAATATTTGATATACACAGGGCTTAATTTTATATATTTACTATATTTCAATCGAAACTGATGATTACATTACTTAACAATTTTTAAGATCTGTATATCAATTATACTGGTACCCATGTAAGGCCTAACATTATTGGCCACTAAGCTTATCTTTCTTCTCTACTCTCCAAGATAAGAATGCTTATTTACATTACAGTTTTTTATAAAAGCTGCTTCTACAGAGTCCAGGGGCTCTATAATAGCAAAAAAAGGGGGGGCTTCGAGGTCTGCCAGAACTTTACTTCTAGTAAAGAGTTATTCTTGATCAAAATTATACATTACTACCTAGTTTACAGAAAGATTTAAAAGAGGTCATTAGGAGACTGAAAATGGAAAAACGACTTCAAGATGTATCAGATATAAAAATATTTAATGACTTCCTTCTAGAACAAAATGACATACAGTGTGGTAATTAAAAACTTCCCCGATATGAACCCCTAGTGGCCTATCTGCTCAACCAATCAAAATGAAATTTCAGATATTATTTGAAGGTATGTGCTAAAGTTCACGATGATTTAAAACAATACAGCTCTCATGATTATGGTTATGGTGAAAAAAATTAGAAATTTTCAAATGGCAACATCCACTTTTTTCCTCACAATTTGATCAGCACACTGGAAAATCATAAATGGCATTAGAATGATACACACACGATGAAAATTGCTAGCATAAAACATTTGCATTGAAGGGCATTATAAAGGACCAATGACAACACAAAACAGACCAGGGGACAAATCTTTTACAGATTTCTCCTACGATGTTTCATTCATCACTGTTGTCAACAGTTTCCCGCATCCAATGTGTTAATGCCTGCAAAGGTGGGCATGTTAAAAACTTGTACTTTCAATAATAGTTTTTCTCCTCTCCTCTCTTGTGTTGTCACTGAATCTTTACAATGCTCTTCTCTGCAAATGTTTTATGCCTGCAATTTTGGTCTATGCGTATCGTTCCAATACCATTGCTGGTTTTTCAATATATTGATTGATATGGTGCAAGGCATTGCCATTAAAAAATTTGAATTTTTTTTACTATAACAATATCTGAAATTTCATTTCGATTGGCTGAGCAGATAGGCTGCTAGGGATTTATATACTGGGGAAGTTTTTTCATAACCATCCCGAATTACATTTTATATTTATAAAAAATTTAAAAGGGGACCGAAAATTGAAAGTATTCATCTTCTGAGGATTTGGGTTGATAGCAAGAAGCATGTTAGCATGTTCTTTTTATAGATTATCTAAAGCAGAAACTATAATAACTTCATGAAAGTAAATTTCATTTTTCAGTCAAGTTACATTTCCTAGTAATATTATGCTGCTACAGTATATAGTACTTCCGTATTATCTCGTCGGCCGGCTAAGTAACGCAAATTAGCACTAATTATGGATGACAATGTCCTTTAGAATTCTGCAGTAAAGATTGGCAACTGTTGCCGAAATTTCCGCCAGTAGTCAACGGGGTAATATGTAAGTACCCATTTTAAGTATGCAGTGTTATATTTAATAAATTTTTGGATAGAATAATAATATTGAATGCAAATCACTATCAAAAGCTTTTTTCACACATTCTGAATAAATACGTTTAACTCAGAGCCAAAAATGTAAATTTAAAGTGCTGAAAAATGTAAATTAAACTTTTAAAATTTTAGAACTTTGTAACTCCAAACCTAAATAAACATATTCAAGCAGCTATTGCTACAGGTACACATGCAAAGTACACAAAAACAGATTAAAAAAAAAATAAATTGGTTAGAGTTGAATTCAGGGTATCCCTTGTATTATTGCGAAGTTGTCATTTATCGCCAAGTTGTTCGTTTACTGCCAAGCTGTTGTTTTATTTATGGTAACCTGAGCAGTTGAATGTTATGGAAACCCTATTATGATGTAATCGTTTGCATTATTCTGGGAAATTTTGAATCATGGGATATTTTGCAAGGGCTTTTATGGTGTGTGTGTTTAGGAAATACATTGCTTGTTTCATTGTTTAGACGGTAGAATGGCTGAATGTAATAAGATTAATTTGATGTTTCTGTACGATTTAGAATAAAAAGGGGGAAAGTGCATTAATTGACTGGTGTGTAAATGAAGGTTTACTTAGCAGACATTTTCAGGACAGTCCGGAATATGCAGGACATTTTTTACTCTTATTTTTGTGAATTTATGTAGCGACGCCAATATACGGATTCTAGTTCAGATAATTTTAGGAAGTTTTTAGATACTGTTAAGGAATTTTGTGTGCCACAGAGGTAAGTGGATATTTGCTTTGTGTAATGCTTAAATGCATAATGTTAATGCATAATCCTTTTTTGTTATTTTATTGTTTGGTTTAAAATGTAGTTTATTGAGATTACATACTTTTGTTTGCCTCTACTGTAGAATTGGATGCTCCTTTGACATTTTAAATAAAAATATATCGATGTGTACACGGACAAACTCAAGGGAGTGCATAAAGCCTAGTTTGTGAAATTCTCTGATGTTTTTTTAAGTAAAAATAGGTCAATGTGTACACGGATAAAGGGAGTGCGCAATGCCATTTTTTTTGCAACTCTAGGATGCTTTTTAAAATGTAAATAGGTCGATGTGTACATGGATGCCGAGTTTGTGCAATTCTTTGTCTTGTTATTTTGGCTTTATGTAGTGGCGAAATTTTGACACAAAAGTCGCCGCTACGCAAGCCAAAATAACAAGTCAAAGACTTGCACAAATTCGATATCCATGTACTGCCGAAAATCGCCAAGTTTCACCAAGGGGTACCCTAAAATATACTTTTACCAATAAATTAACAATCTGCAACTATACGAAAAAAGATGTCTTACAGGGTTTAGTAGTTTAAAATATATACCAGTTTACAAAATACTGGATTTTACTATAGAAGTTACCCACACTGTGTTCCATGTCACAACTTAAAAACATTTTATTGTTGCATAATAACAACTGATGGCCAGTTTCCTGCAGCTGTACGATGCAGCATGTGTTCATTTTTGTTTCTAAGATTCCTGAGCATTTTCTTCAGGTTTGTAAGGCATTCAAACATGCCCAAAAATGGACAAAGTCACTAATCACAATCTGAATTAGGTTTTATCCACCAGTGACAGAACAGAAAGGCATCTCTAAGTCATCCCAAAATTATGGGAAAAAACGCTTTATAAGACAACCAGATCACATGTATTTGCAGTTCAATTGAGAGCTAGATACCGAGAAAAACAGTCCCACCAGTTCGATGTAGCAACAGGGCTAGTATATTTCAAATAAGGGCGAACCAAGGGTTGCTTTATTGTTCTTTTGTTTTTTGGCAACTGTTGACTGAGGGGAAAGAGTTATCATTCGTTTTCAAGACACCCCTACAGAAAATGGGTCAAGGCTCATTTCTACCACAACAGACAGCTGCAGACTAACTGGCAAGAGCTTTTCTTACGATAGACAGACTGTACACTCCACCTGAAATAACAGTAACAGGTATAGATGCACATTCCACCTCAGATAACAGTAACAGGTAAAGCTGTAGCCTGCACCCAACATCTTGTTTATAATTTTGTTCTCCATCTTGGAGATATGGCCAACCATGGCAAATTAGTGGATTATGCTCATTTCGTGGAAAAACCCAACTCGTTCCCACACCAAAGAAATTCTCAATTCAACTAGTGTACTGACAGAAGTCCCCCCCCCCAAAAAAAAGGAGAAGGAATTTGTGATAATGTGAATACACATCTTAATTTAGAAAGTATTTTTGTTAGGTAGTGGATACTCAGATAACTGGCACTTAACGAATTTCCTGAAATTGCATTCGGCAACTTGGGCAATACGTGCCATGCAGTGGGAAGACAGTTTAGGTTGCTAATTTAGATTTTAACTAAGCTAGAGAGAAAGGAAAGGAATACTTTCATGTCATACTTCAATAATTTTAAAAGAAAATCTGAAAGCTGTAAAAAGTAATAAAAAATATATGTCATGACAAGTGTATTGGGAAGAGAGCCTTACCCAGTTCAAGTGTGTAGATTCAAGATCTTGAATTTTCTAACTATCCACATGACATAAAAAATTACTAACAGATTGGTAAATTAGGGTGGAAAACGTTTAGCTCTCTTTACGGCTTGTGGGTTTCGCTCGTAAATAATTATAACACAAAGTATTTTCCAAGAAACTTCATGAGCAAAAACAAAAATTTAAGCAGTTAATATTAGATTTTTATAGCTGCTAGATACCTTTTAGAAAAATTACCTTTAAATACAAAATGTATAAATCCATATGCACTCTAATACATATGTGGTATATATTCTCGAAAATTTATTATAATGAATAAGGGTAAAGTGCAGAATTGGCCACTTATATGGTGTGCATTGACGTGTACATGGACAAAGTCAAGGGAGTTGCTAAGTTTGTGCAATTCTCTGATGTCGTTTTAAATGAAAATAGGTCGATGCGTACATGGATAACGCGTTTGTGCAATTCTTTGATTTGTTATATTCAA